GCTTGACATGTTGGACATAAACGTGTATGTCATGCAGACATCCCACTGTTATGAATACATCAGTTCCTGCTTGTGCTAAAAGGCACTGATGTGATCACAAAATGGGTTAGAGATCCGTTTGCTCTTAATTGTGTAACACTGGACATTTTGGCCCTCTGCAAAATAAGGATGGGGTCTTAAAAAAGGCTTTTCTGTCAATTTGAGTGATTAAAGTGGAAACCAAAGTTCCATAAGCTTTAGGCTAGCCACCTCTACAGGAAGGTAGACAACCCAAAATGTATGGTCATGTATGTATGCTTTCCCTTCCACAGCTACCTTGATAACCAGATTAATTGTAATTGGAAACACAATTTTCTTCTGGATGACACTGGAAGGGAAAAATGACAAAGATGATATAAAACCTTTTTTTGTTTGTTTCTTACCCAAAAAAAGCCTTTCATGGCACAATTTGGGTGATCCTGGACTTAAACCCACTAACAGAAAAAGATAATGGTGCTATTATGGGAGCTAAATGGAGGGAAAATATGTAACAGTACTGTGTACAAGCAATATCAGATGAGATCTAGAATAAGGGGGAGGTAAGTGATGCCATGAAGGACTTATTTGTCAGGTACTGTAATTTGAGGAAAAGATGAGCACCTCTTTTCAAAGGATAATAATAGAAATTTATGGAGTCTGTTGTGGCATCATTCCTCTAAATCCGTTATGCTCCGTTGCTCATTGTGTTTGTCAGCTCTCACAAGTTTTTTACCTGCTTGTTCTCTTTCCACACCTGAGTGTTAATGGGGTCCTGCTTGCCAAGCTTGTCTCCCAGGCTCAGCATCTCTATTTGATTGTGAACAAAGCTGTCACAGGGGTAAGCGCTGTCAGAAAGATGTTCTGCCCCTCTTTTTCACTTGTGAAAGCAAGGTGTAAAAAGGTATTTTCCTTGCACTTGGTGGCACTCCCTTGTGCCACCAAGCAATGCATGTTCTAGCATCAGATGGAAGAACAGAATCTGAAACAAGTGTCAGTGTCACTTAGAAACTGCAGACATGAGAAAAATCAGGGGGCTTCCTTTGCCTGTGAAGTTTTTATGTAGTCCGCAGAGGAAGATGTGAAATGTATCTGCATGAGACAGGGGAAAGTAGAACTTGCTGCTTCTTAAAAGTCCTGTGGTTGAGGAAGTTTTGTGAGATAGCTTTACTGCAGGGAGTTTCCAGATATGTAAAGGAGGTCTGTGGTGCCCGGCCGGTTCCCGCCTCATGCAAAGTAATTTCTGTGTGAGAATATACCAGAGAGTGAGAAACCTCAGCACCAGCAGTTTATGGCCAATCTACTGCTGCTGCTCCAAGTGAATTGATAAAGTAAACACAGCCTATGCTGGCTTAGTCACTGCTCACAAACTGAACGAAAACTGAAATGGTTTGTGATGCATTATAATATTCCAGGAAAATATATTCTGTAGCACTCTGAAAGAAAAAACACTCTGTTTAAATGAGCTTCACAGAAGTGTATTTTATTGAATTTGAAAGGCAGATTCAGAAAAGAGGATTAGCAAGCTGAGACTAACAGCTGCATTTGACATACTCGAATTTACAGTAATTCGCTTTAGGTAAGAACTCCATCTGTAAGGGGAGAAATAATACTTAAACACTCCTTACTTCATGGTGTAGTGCCACCTAAGGGTTAAGAGCTTTTAAACCTGAGAGTGGCTTCCTATGGACAGGGCTTTGACCCAACCTGGTCTGCCCCTGGTCTGAAGGTGTCTGCCCGTGGCAGGGGATTGGAAGTAGATGAGCTTTAAGGTCTCTTCCAACCTTAACAATTCTATAATTCTGTTAGTAGCAGAGAAAGTCTTTCTCACATTATTAAATTGTTTGTATTTTGGAACTTACTTGGCAACAGGCTGCTAAGATTTCCATGTTGTTACATCTGGCAGAATTGTAACTTTCCCAGTTCCCGCTGGAGCTGGCCATGCTCTTCTGTCTCTTCAGCAGTCTGTCAGATTTGGGATGTTGCAAATCCTGATTTTCTCCCCTGCTAACCAGGTCTTCTGTGATCAGTGAAGAGGTTATCTACATCTACTGCTGCAAGGCAGGGTAGGAGATTGCTGCCTTGCTGGCACCGAGTCTGCAAGAACTTAAAACAGAGCCAGGAAAAGTTTGCTTTGTGAGGCTGAAATAGAGAGGAAACCCTGGCCTGCTTCTACTTAGTTTACTAAAGGAAGGTACTTTAGGGATGAGATGAGGGAGGGATGAGATGCTGGGATTACCCTCTGCCTGTGGGCAGATGTGCTTTATTCCTCCTCAAAATTCCCCACCCCTCAGCTTGCACATCACAAATTACAGTTGGCTCCTTTGGGCTTCTTTTGATTTAGCCTAGAAATGGGCAAAAGAAAACCATAGAAAATCTGCCCATCTCTGTACCATGTTTGTTTCTTCAAACTGAGTTTGGGGCTGAAAGCCTGAATTGTGGTCACTTCTTTTTTTTTTTTCCTGACAAACCCAAAACTCCAAGAGAGGTAATACTTTAGAAGTAGGGTTTTTCCACACTTTTTTATTCTCAAATCGTATTTCATTTTATACTGTATCTTCCACAGCAGATGGCATACCTACCTTGCTGAAACTAGAGATGCTTTCTGTGATCTGCTCAGTTGGCAAGATCTGCTGTATCTCAGGCAGAATGCACATTATACAGACATGGTCAGGCAACTGTCTCGCCTGTCCTAGGAGGAAGCTAATGATGGATTCACAGTATTTTTGAAGGAAAAATGTTAACATTTTTGATTGCATGACTGTATGCTTCAACTGTCATAAAGAGCAGGTGTTTCTTTCCTTCCTTCTGTACCCTCCACACACACAAGCAATTAAGTTTTAAGTATTAATATGAGGAAAGACCTGATTTTATTTGTGTTAAGTTTCTTTTTTGAAATCACCACACTGAAAAAAAAAAAAAAAGCCAGCTGACAAGAATTGTTTTGTCTGTCCCTTCGAAATGGGGGGAAAAGTATTTTGAAATGGCAAGACACAAACTTGGCAAAATGATGCTGGAAGAAATACCAAGCATTGCTGTAAGTGCCCCTCAGGTAAACAAGCCCTTTGGCAAAATCGTAGCACAATGGCCAAAGCAAACTCTTTAAGACTGTCCTCTTGATGTCATGATGTAGAAGAGGGGAGCAGCTGGATACCAGGGCTGCCACAATCAAAACTGAATGAACTTTGACAAGATTGTTAAAGAAAAAATACGGTAGGGAATAGTAAATTCATGGTGGTGCAGCACACTCTGGAAAAAGCAGACTGCTGCTTAGATACTGGTGATAAACACTGTGACAAGCCCAAGAGAGCAGGAGACAGACATTCACATCAGCCCCACGTTAGGTGCCTTTTGCTCAGGGTGGGTTTTTGGTGATTGTCTTGTTTTCATTAAGTCAGAGAGAATATGCAGTTACAGAAGTAGTACAGTGCTTTTATATATATATATAGGTTCTATTGCTTACCAAAACAAAAGTTTTTACATATGTGTGCATATGTGTATATAAATACATATATAAATAAATAATTACCCTAGTAAATACATACACATGAGAAAACTTGCTATTGCAACTTTACGGGCAGTTATTTTCTAATACAGATACAGGCTAATGTCTGGGTCAGCAGATATTTATTACAAAACATAACAACAAATTCAGAGACTTGGAATAAGGATTATCTCGTGTGTATGTGTAAAAGAAATGCTGAAGATTGGAGTTAATGTGAAGAGGAATTGGAGAAGTGGTGATTAATGGAAGTCATTAGACATAATATGGAATGTTCAGAATTGAAATTACAAAATAAAAAGAATGATCCTGCTCTTGAAGTTCCTGAAATAATGTTTTTGGAATATGCATTTTATAGGGCCTGATTCATTAAAAAGCTCTGGTGGTTTAGAGGCGATCAAAGCTGGTGTGTCTAAAAATGTGTTTCTTTCTTTCCAACTGTGTCCTTCTGCTAAACAAAGTATCCCCATTCCTTACAAACCTTGGCAGTTGACTGTCCCTGTCTCAGGAGCTTGACTCCAAGTGACAGAAACACAGAGCACCCTTTAGTGCCTGCGAGAGGAGAATCTGGGGCCGCTTTCCGCTCACCTCAGCCCACCCCCCCCCTCCCCCCTGTGGTATGTGGGATCAGAATGGGGGATCAAAAGAGAAGGTGGCGCCCCCAGACTCGTCCAGAGTCTCTACCCAAGAGTTGTAACAGTATGTGGCTGCTGGGCCTACGAAGACACATCTAAGCAAAGGTGAGCACTTAAATATTGTATATAATGTATCCAAAATACTATATATAGTATATCCAAAATACTGTATGTAGTATATCCAAGTCGTTATAAACACTTAAGAATCTTTACAATGCTACCAATGTAATTTATCCCATGCCTGGTACTTCAATGACAAAGATAATGGCAATAACATGCTAACTGTCATCTTCACTCTGGTGAGGGTTACTTTGCCCCTCAGCGCACAGAGCTGCAAGGACCTCTCGGACTGGCGGTATAAATGTGGGGTTCGCGGGGGGCTGGACCAATGCTCAGCGCTCAGCCACTTCTCAGGCTGGAACTCGGGCTGCAGGCATAAGACCACCGACGGTGGTGGCGAGCACCTTAACGATACTTAACACAGTCCAGTCAGGCTGATAACCCACATTAAACTAGTATTTTGAAGGTTTCCCCGTCACCAGCCGGTGACACCTGAAGGAAGCCCCGGTTCACTGCTACCGACACAAGCTGCTCCTAAGGGGATCCCGGCACGTCAGAACCGGATGCATTCTTGAACAAAATACGTTCGAAACAGCGGCCGACACCTGCCCCTCAACCCAGTGTGGCGGAAGGACCGGAAAGCACCTACACAGAAGTGGCCATTGCCCTCCACAAACAACCCTGCCTTCCGGCATGCCACAGCAACCAACATGGCGCCTGGTGGCCCCCAGAACGGAACGCAGCGCGCATGCGCCCCCTCTCCCCCAGCGGGAAGCGTTGCGGCGTCCTGACGCCAGTTGCGCGGTCCCCCGGCAACGGCCGTACGTCGCGCGGCGGCAGGGAACCCGGAAGCTGCGGGCGAATAGGAGCGAGCGACCCAGGCAGCGGGGCGGGCTCGGCGCGCGGAGGGTGGCGGCGGCGGCGGCAAAGTAGTCCCGCGGGGGATAGTGGCTGATTGGCGGTAGTGTGGTTGGTGCTCGGCACTGCGGTGTGCGGAAAGTACTCTCGGCGCTGTTCGGACCGCACAGCTGCACCGCGCAGCGGGGGAGATGGCAGCCGACAAGACTGCGGGTGAGTGTCACGGGATCCACCGCGGCCCGCCGCCTCCGCCCCGGGCCTGGGCCGCCTGGTGCGGAAGGATACGTTCTCGCGGGGGGGGGGGGGGGCGGCGGGGGTTTGAGCTGCGCTGCGTCCTGGTCGGAAGGAGAAACGACTGCTTTTCGGGCGCTGTGCTGTTTTCTTCCGCCGAAGAGCTAGTGCCCCAGCGCGGCCGAGCTGCTGGTGGCTGGTACGAAGTGCCGGCGAGCCCCGCCACCCATAGGCCTGTGTCATGTCGGGTCCGTGTGGGGACGGAGCTCTCCGTGCCCTCCGCCTGGAAGGAGGCGAAGGGGAGGGAATAGTGGTGGGGGTGGGTTTCGGCGTCTCCCAGAGTTTAGTAACTGCTGCAGGGGTCGAGTTAATTTGTTAAACTGGGGCATTCGGGAGGTGCTGGGGAGATGCGAATGCTTTGTGCTGCTACTTGATCTCTGGAGCTGACTCTGCTTCCCTCTGAGTTGATGCTTTGGTTTCAGGGGATGAGCGAGTCTTCCCTAAACTCAGGCCTGAAAAGACACCGTAGAGAGATCACCAGAATTAAAAAGAATAAATCATCTGGTAAATACCCTCAGTAAATCTTAAGAACAGTTGCTGTGTAACTCATTAGTGTTGATACTACTTACCCGTGTCCCATAAGACTGCCCTTCATGCAGGAAGACCTCTTTGCAGGAAAGATTATTTAAAAATATCTTAAGTGTGTTTTTTTTTTTCTTCTGGATGCTGAATACAGAACTTCTCAGTATCTGGAAAAGCTTGTGGGAAAAAATAGTGTACTGCACTGACTGATGCATACTAAACAATCCTGTGTTTATTTGTAAGCACTGTATGCATCTCCAAAACTACAAGAGAAAGAAATTGACATTAGGTTTTTTATGTTTTGTTGTTGGCCTAGGAGTATTGAAGGAACTTTTCAGTTGTACGTTCTTAACAGAAAAGTATGTGCCCAAGTGAACCAAAGCTGTGAGCTATGGCAAGACTTTCTACATACTGAACTTGTTCATAGCAGTGAGTTACAAGGAACTTTTCACTGAGAAGTGTTTGCTTTTTTGTTATACAGCACTGAAGAATTCTGTTATATTTATACTAATAGTACAGTGCTTCATAGAAAAATGTAGTTTTGGTGCCAGAAACTGTCATTATCTTATAGAGGCTGAACACTCTGGTTGGTCTTCGTACCCTTCAAAATGCTTTTGGAGCAAGAGTTACGAGATAGATTTCCCCACTTCCAAGGATATATTATCCCTCTGCCTGTAGAGTTTGGAAATAAAAGTAATTCCAGAAAAAGAATTCCAGAGGTATTCAACAGCACAGTTCATGTCAGATGTAATTTACAGGGCCTAGGAACAAGACAGCTCAGGAACAGCAGTCCTTGGAGATACGGAGAACAGGTATGAGAAGGATACTCATTGCAGTCACTCTCTGGGTATCTTTGGGTATGTTTTTGTGGGAGATGTGGCTTCTTGTAGCTTATGTGGTGTGTCAGCAAATTGATGAGCAATCTCTCTTTTCAGGTGGTAGTCTGATAATTTTCCATGTTCTTCTCTCATAGAGACAGGTTTCCCAAAGTTCTGCTGTCCACCAGTAACTTCTCCAATAGGGACAACTCCCTGCTTGTGCGAAGCAAGCAAGCCTCCATGACATAGTGTTTCTACTGCTCTGCCCCAGGACTGCTCACTAGGAAGTTACTTTCCTGACTTGCTGCTTTAACTTCAAACTCAGTGCAGCAGTTCCCTCCAGATCAAAATCTGGGCATTTGATTCTTTTCCAGGTTGCCCCTTTTGCCCCTTATCACTTGCCTGACAAGTGTTAGATAAAGAGTTACCCTGTACTTGTGAAAGTGGGCAAAACAAAGTGTTAAACAAACAGGTCTGTGTGTAAATACAATTCACAGAGATAAACCAAGTCCTGTCATTTGTGCAGCAGAGAATCTGCACTGTTTCAGTTGTCTCACCTGATGGATAGGAGCATGTCGGTAGTGAGCGCTGTGCTGTGTTACTCACGCCACATGCTTCTGCAAGAATGCCAAAGATCACTAGGTCTGAGTGAACAAGCAGCATGCTGTATGTTTTCCCAGGGAACAATGTGCTTACCTGTTTCATTTTCAAATGCCTCAAGAAATCTGGAAACAATAGTTTTATTTGCAAGTGCTTCAGAGTCGTTTGCAGCCAAGGGAGCAAGAATGCTTTATTTTCTTCATTTAAGTGGAGTCTTTTCAGTATCTTGCACCAGCCAGCTTTTAGGTGACTCCTGTCTGTGACATCTCTCAATAATAATAAAGATCAACTAAAGCAGCAAGTCCTGGTCTAAACAAGAGTGGCAGGATTACAATAGATTAGAAGCACCTTTAGCTCTTTAACAGGTTTCAAGTGTATTTGGGCAAAAATGGTAGAGACTAGCCAAAGTCTGTTTTTTTTTTGTTTGTTTTGTTTTGGTTTGTTTGTTTGTTTTGTGGGTTGTTTTTTTTTCTGACTTTTTTTCTCAAAGGAGAGAGCTATGCTGTGAACCAGCTGGACTTTCACTTCATTTTTTCTTGATAAATTTCCAGTGTTGCAAACCTGTTTCGTTTACTGAGTCATAGTAGGTGCAGTTGTTTGGATTACAGCCATAAAACTGGCTTTATAGGAGAAGGGACTTCTCTGGTTTGTTTAAAGTAGTCCCCTTTTTTTCTTCCCTTTAACATTCCAGAAGACTTAGAAGCATAGTGAAATCTGTAGACCTGTTCTGATTTTTTCCCTAGGAAATAAATTAAGCACCTAAAATAAGTGGTGCTTTTGTTATGAAACTTGGACAACAGTCTCTTATCTTTCACTTAAGATATTTTAGTTCAGGATTGATACTTCCATAAGCCCATCTTCATTTGAGATGCTTGTTTTACCAACTTGCATACAATGGCAGTAATCAGTTATGCACTCTGTAGTCGATGGCACTGATCTACTGGGTAAATCTGTATGTGAGGAACCTCTTGACCAGACTGACTATAATCAACTTCAAAAGTTTGAGAGTCGCAAGTCTCTGCACTGTGTTTACTTTTACTAGCATAATCTGAAAGGCATGCTGAGCAAGAAAAGCAGATAATGTAACTGGTAGCATGAAAACACGAGGGAAGATGTTTGCTTATTCGCTGCTGTTCTAGAGGTCCTTGGAGGGTGGTAACAGTCTGTTAAACTATACAACCACAAGGTTTAGAGCAGGAATCCAATTTATTCCGTATTTAGCTTGAAGGAGAGGTGCTTCTTGTTCCTGTTCTCTTTTGCTGCAGAAAACCTTGGCACATCAAACATTTTCTGAGCTTTTTTATGTTTTAATTTTCTCTCCTGTCCTTCCCTTTCAAGGAAAAGGCAGTGCAAGTGGTACTCATCAATGCCTTATACACAGTCAGATCTTATAGTATGTGTATGTATGCAGTTCTATAGCCCCCTGGAGATCCTTCCTTCCAGAGTACTGAAACTGCTGAATCCTGAATCTTGTCTAAATCACAGTGGGTTACTTTGTGAGTTGCAGGTTTAAGATTGTTGAGTTTTTAAAATCTCAGTTTTGTTGGTGTCTTGAAGCAGGATTACATCCAAATATTTACAGTTCTTGCTCAAATGTGTTGTTATATATGGCAATGGAAGGGATGTCACTGTCTTCTCAGCAACAAGAACAAACTAGTAATATATTACTAAGTCTGTGTTATACTTACTAAGGATGTTAATTGATGAATCCTCTCAGGATTGTTTGTCTTATATTTGCAAATTTCATAGTCAGGAGCAGACAAATGGTTGGTTTTATGTTGTTTTTGAAGCAGAACTCATGGATAAGTGTCTTCATTTGTTCAAAGTGAAAACAAAATTAGCAGAGTTTGCATTACATCTGTGAATGCTAGGGAAGAAAAAGAAGACACTGAATTTACAAAGCCTACCTAGCCTATTAAGATAGCAAAAAGTAGGTTAGAGCAGTGCTTCCACTGTGAAATTGAAGAAATAGTTTTCTGCAAAAGCGGTTTATAAAGTCCTTGTTTCAAAATCATTAAATTATGTTTGTATGTTCTAGCACATGAGTTCATGGTTCCTGAAATAAGTGGTCCAGAGCGGTGATATGATGGTTTGGGTTGGTTTTTTCCCCTCCACTAGTTTGTGTTCAGTACAGGGAAGGGTTTAGTGTGGGAGGGTTTGATTTCTTTGACATGGAATGTCTGTACTATCTTTTTTTTAATGCAGCTTCACTGCACTAAATTCTGAATTACATGGTTCAGCAGACTCCTTTCTGAAAAATATGCTCAATAGTGACTGAAAGTTAAAACACTAAGAATTCTATGTAAAAGAAATGGAAGACAGTTAAACCCTTATTATATTGCAATATAAATGCTCAAAGGGGACACCATCATTAACTACTACACTCTGTTCTTGTTGTCTTAATCTGGAAAAAGATATAGTAGAACCGGAGAAGATTCTGGGGAAAAAACATGTGAGGAAGGTACAGAATAAACTGTGCCTGCTCATCCTGGAAGAGAATTGATTCAAAGAAAGATCTCCAAGACTGGAAGTGAGGTGGAAAAAGTGAATAGGCAGCATTTCCTCCTGTATTGCAATATAATCACTACATAGCATTTTGTGGGGTATAATTGAAGAATGCAAAAGTATAGAGAGATTGAAAAAATACATCAGGTCTGCCAGTGATTATTAACAATGATATTTTGATTGCAGCCTCTTACTTAGGGAGACTTATTCTTCCAAAACAGGGAGCTGGGTGAAAGTTCTAGTGTTTGCTGTTTTGTATGTTGTTCCCTGATGTGTCCCTCTCTTGTTGTTTAGGAAGCAACATACAGGATGCATGGGGTTTTCATCTAACCCAGTGTGGTACCCTTTATGTAAATAAAGGCTATCCTAGTATATGGTTGCAGCTTTGAAGAAAAATCTAAAATGTGTGCGTTGTCAGTTAACTTGCAGGACTTTGGTTAGTGCTTTAGCATGGTAATTTAGCTAGGATTATTACATTTACATTTTGTGGAGAGGAATTCACTGGGAGGGTAGGATAATGAGATATTTCAGTGTAGTAGGGAGACAATGCAGTTATCTGGGAAGTAAGTTGTACTGGTGAGAAGATCATGAGAACTAGAAGAAACAATTTTTTTAAACTGAAGTGGTGTCATCACATTTGCAAACTTTCTTGTAACCTTCTGACCACTTTACAGATCAAGGTACTGAGAAACATGAAGGAGCTGGTACTTCTGGGATTACTGATCAGGAAAAGGAATTGTCAAGCAGTGCATTACAAGCTTTTCTGGTAAGACAGGGCCAAGCTCTGAGACTTCTGATTTATCACAACTGCTAAATGGGCTTTTATAATTATTCTTCCTGTTTTCTTATCACAGTTGCAAATGTTTTAACGGGATATTATATAAAAAGTAGCACTAGTTGTGTTCTCAAGACAGCACATGAGGTTTCTGTCTGCTGTGGTGTGAGGTGTCTGAAGGGGATACTTGAATGAAGTGCACAAGATTGTGCTTAATCTTGATTCTCAAAACTTAGTAATCTTAAAAACTGAGTTAATTAGAAGCAGGTTGCTGTTCTGTGTCAGTGTTGAAAATGCATGATCTGTCTGAAGAATTAATTGCTTCAAGTTAAAAATGTTGTGTTAAAGGATTTAAAGGAACTACATGTAGTTAAAAACCAGCAACCTAACAAACCTTTTTCATTTTAGTATCTTTCTCTATTCTTTCACAAAAACTGTTGTATACTGTTCAGTCACTTTACATTAAAACATATTCTTCAACACGTAACACCTACAGGCAGTATTTGCTACTTGTTTTGTGCTTCTTGGAAGATCTTTTTGAGTGTGTTAAAATTCAGGTACCACATCTTTCAGTTTACTTCTTTGTACTGTCTCCTAATTTTATTTAGTGTAGCAAGTGACAGGAAGCGTAATTGATTTTCCTTTCAATTGTTGTGGCTCTGTCTCCACAATGCCTTGCATAATTTTCCCTCAGCAAATTTGCCGATGACACCAAGCTGTGTGTTTCGGTTGATACGCTGGAGGGAAGGAATGCCATCCAGAGGGACCTTGACACGCTTGTGAGGTGGGCTGATGCCAGCCTCATGAAGTTTAACCATGACAAGTGCAAGGTCCTACACCTGGGTCGGAGCAATCCCAAGCACAGCTACAGGTTGGGCAAAGATGAGATTCAGAGCAGCCCTGCAGAGAATGACTTGGAGGTGTTGGTTGATGAGAAAATGAACATGAGCCAAGAGTGTGTGCTTGCAGCCCAGAAAGCCAACCGTATCCTGGGCTGCATCAAAAGGAGTGTGACCAGCAGGTCGAAGGAGGTGATCCTGCCCCTCTACTCTGCTCTTGTGACACCTCACCTGGAGTATTGTGTGCAGTTCTGGTGTCCTCAACATAAAAAGGACATGGAACTGTTGGAACAAGTCCAGAGAAGGGCCATGAGGATGATCAGGGGACTGGAGCACCTCCCGTATGAAGATAGGCTGAGAAAGTTGGGGCTGTTCAGCCTGGAGAAGAGAAGGCTGCGTGGAGACCTCATAGCAGCCTTCCAGTATCTGAAGGGGGCCTGTAGGGATGCTGGGGAGGGACTCTTCATTAGGAACTGCAGTGATAGGACAAGGGGTAATGGGTTAAAACTTAAACAGGGGAAGTTTAGATTGGATATAAGGAAGAAATTCTTTCCTGTTAGGGTGGTGAGGCACTGGAATGTGTTGCCCAGGGAGGCTGTGAAAGCTCCATCCCTGGCAGTGTTCAAGGCCAGGTTGGACGAAGCCTTGGGTGACATGGTTTAGTGTGCAGTGTCCCTGCCCGTGGCAGGGGGGTTGGAGCTAGGTGATCTTAAGGCCCTTTCCAACCTTAACTATTCTGGTTCTATGAATTCGGTTTTGGATGTATTAAATAGATTGAGGGAAGAATTTAAATACTGTCTTATGAGGTTCCTTCTTGTGTGTTTCACTTGTTACATTTTTTTGCCTAGAATGTTGTTACATGTAGTTGGTCCTTAAACTGACTACAGTTGATGTTCACTGGTGTCTTCTTGAGTGCTTTCTAGCTCAATGACTCTTTTTCAATAGCTCTTTGCTCATTGGCATCCTGAAAACTGAAGGCACATGAAAGATTTGTCTATTTTCCACCTTGCCCACAGATCTACAAGCTTAAAATACTTTTGATCTGTCAATGATTTCAGCAGATCAGACTTTTAGTTTTAATACTTGTCCAGTGTATCTTGTTTATTTCATACTTTTTTCCTTGCTTTAAGAACTCCCTAAGTTCATGCAGTTGTGAAGTAGCAGCAGATGTGAGCAGAATTAATCTGCTGCCATGTTTGCCAGTTTTGTTTGCTATTGAGTTGCTTTAAATAGCTTTGTGGGCTGCCTTATTATATTTCACTTCCAATACCAGTCTTGATAGAATTACTGCAGAATTCCATATCATATCCTAGATTTTGTCTGGTAGAGTCAAGTAAAGAACTGTTGTTGGCTGAGGGAAAAATAAGTTGACCATTTAAGGGTTCAAGATTTTTAGTCCAGCCATGGTTAGAAGCCTTGTTGCTCTGACCTGAAAGCTGCTCCTGTTGAAGAGAAGCTCTGAGTGTGAACACATGAAGACGATCACTGGGAGATGAACTGTCTCAGTTAAAGAGCATGCCAGCAGTTGAATTGCAAGTCCCTATGTTTATGCATATGATCACTAGGCAATCCATGCTGTTGATATTTAGAGTTGTGGAAATACTGAGAATCAACATCCTGCTGCATCTCTCTTTAAACTGTGTAACTGTGCTTTCATAAGAGACTGAAGGAACTGGGATGGTTCTTTTGAGAGTAGCCGCCTGTCCTGGGTTCAGCAGTAGCAGTCATGTTTCTCCTTCTTGGTAGCTGGTGCAGTGCAGTGTTTTGACTTTCGGCTTGGGAACAGAGCTGATAACAATGATGTTTTGGTTTGGCCAAGGACTTTGTGAGGCTCATGCTCTGCCAGGGAGGAGGGGAAGCTGGGAGGAAGCAGAGACAGGACACCTGACCCAAGCTAGCCGAAGAGGTATTCCATACCATAGCACGTCATGCCCAGGATGTAACTGGGAGTTAGCCAGAAGGGCTGGTAGACTGCAGGGTTGGAGGAGGTATTGGTCAGAGCTTGGTCAGGCTGGGGGGGTGAGTTATCGGTCGGCTGGTGGTGAGATGTTGTATGCTCTTCCTTTGTTATTTCCTTTATCATTGTTATTATTGGTGGTAGCAGTAGTGATTTGTGTTATACCTTAGTTACTGAACTGTTCTTATCTCAACCCATGGGAGTTGCATTTGATTCGATTCTCCTCTCCGTCCCTCCAGGAGTAGGGGGAGGGAAAGAAGGGGGGGAGTGAGTGAGCGAGTTGCCTGACTGGGTTTAAACCATGACACCGCAGCATGGCAACTTTCTTGGGAAGAGCAGAAGCACCACAGAGCCTTTCTCTATTGTAATGCTTTCCTTAATAGAGGAAGTTAGGCAGGAGCACTGGAGAAGCTCCATGGAACAGCACTTAAAAAGGAGGAGGAAGTGGTCGTGGTGCTCAAGAGATAGCTTTCGATTTTGAAACGTTGACAGGGATGGAAATGAATCTGCTTATTTGGCTGACCAGATTGGAAGTAATCCTGGTACAGAAGAGGTGAAAGTGATAATTCCTGTATTGGAATTGAACAGTAGTCAGTGAAGGACCATTTAGGCTTAACATAGTTGAAAGAGTCTGGAGTTCTTTTTCATTCCTTGATACCACTAAATTCCTCCTGCACAAATGCAGACTAAAAGTGAAAGCAGAAAGAGGTGAGCCATTCTGAAGTCCTTGCTCATTAGTGAGGTCAAAGAAGGGGATTTCTCGATTAAGTCACACCTCCGAGGAGCATCACGCTTGGGTCCTAGTTTCTGTTTAGGCATGCCTAAACTGGTGATAGAATACTTCATTCAGTAGCTGAAACTTGTAAAAATATTTACACCTGTACTGTGAAAGTGACACCCTCTTTTTTCCAACCTGTGTTAAGCTGACTTCCACAGACTAAATTATAACTTGGTCTCTCCAGATGAAGTGAAGAATGAGCACAGAATGACAGGATGGGACTTAAGTAAGCAACTGCAGCTGCTCAATGTGCATGTGATGGGGAAAGATTATGAAAACTGAGGAAATAAAGAATCTTGAAACTCAAAATAGTATGATGAAGAGAAATCATAATAATGCTTCATGGAAACATCTGTTTGTAATAATCGACTACTCCATTTGGCCTTCCTCCACAAAATTCTTCTTCAAGTTTGAATATGACGTCAACTTTTAGACTTACTTCTCATACATTATAATCTGAATAAATAACAAAGGATGTGTGTAGATGTTTAGTTTGCTCCGCTTGCTGTTGATAAAGGAAATACTACTTTGCTCTTTAAACTTACAGAAAATACTTTCATCAAAACTTAATAACCAGCTAATTCATACTTTGTATCTTCTAAATGCATGTTTCTGGTATGTGTGCAATTTCCAGGCTGGCAACTATGATGCTTGTTTACAACACCTGAATACCCTTCGAGACATAAACAAAGATGACTACAAAATAACTTTGAATACTGCTGTTGCAGAGTTCTGTAAAAGTAACCAGACTACAACAGACAATTTGAGACAAACCCTTAACCAGCTGAAGAGCCAGGTAATGCAAATGTATTGACATAATACTTGATTGTGAGTACTGTTAATGGTGGTGAGATATTCCAGTGAAACAGGAATAAAATTTCTGACCCTTATCCCTTAGATTTTAATAAAGGAATAAGAAAGTAACATTACTTTTAAGCCTCTGAGTCTGTTTAATCTTTTAAGAACACTGGTTTTATAGTTACGTTTTTAGTTATTGGTGAAATTGATCTGAAGCTGAAATGTTTCAGAGATTATAACCATAGAAACACGTGCTATGTTCTTTCAATAGACAGTTCCTTAACCTGAAATAGTTTGTGAAAAAATTAAAAAAGTGAAAATGTTACTTTACTACTCAGTGATGGCTTTCTACTTAATTGTAAATTTTTTTCTGGATTTATGTGGGCAACAATAAAGTTTCTTAGCCTATAGCTCTTGCTTACCTAGCTTTAGACAGATTCATACCTTCGGATTATTTTTTTTTTTTTTTGACTCTTAAAAAATCATAGCTATTAAAAGTTTAAAAAAAACTTTTATTAAAAAGTGGTTGTTTTTCTTTCAGGTTCACTCTGTTGTTGAAGAAATGGATGGTTTGGATGATGTTGAAAACAGTATGCTGTACTACAATCAAGCTGTTATTCTGTATCATCTGCGTCAGTATACTGAAGCTATATCAGTTGGGGAGAAGCTGTACCAGTTCATAGAGCCTTTCGGTATGTACATAGAAAGAAGAGTTTTAATTCAATAACTACAAAAAGATCACTACCAGACAAGTGATTTGTAATTTGCCTGATACGGCTCTAAAAAAAGTAGGTAGGCTTTGGAATGAAGCTTATGTTTTACTTGTATCGAAGACAGCAATTGAATTTGGGGGGAAGGCACTTCCAGGGCATTTAGCAGACAAGTATAATGAAACTGAAATGGATTTTTGACATCTCTAAAAGGCATTTATGTAAATGATATGAACAAGCTAATTAAATAAATTAAAATCTAGTATTTTGAGTCATCAGGCAACTTCATGGGTAGGTGTGTTTTTGTCAGGCACCCACATTTTTAAATACCTGCATTAGGCCATACATAATTGTATGTGCTCATATCTGAATATAAAGTCTCGAGCTTTAATGAGCTCTGGCACCCTGTGTAGTGTAATTGCCATACTTGTATTAAATAACTTCAAAATCCTCATTGAATTATAGAGGTAACAAGGCTGGAAGATGTATGTGTCTCCGTAAATTACATAAATACTACTATGTTTCTCCTTCAATTCCTCCTAGTTTTCAGTATGTCTGTTTAGTAGCTATCCTGAGAAGATAGCCCAGCAGAGATAAGTTTGTATGGAATCCTTTCAAGTTCTATGGGATTCTGCATATCTGCATGGTGGGGCTTTTTTATGTGATATATGTATTTTTCTCATAGTGTTGCATAGATGCACTTTATAGTCAGGTGGTTGGTTTTTGTTTTGGTTTTTGTTTTGTTTTTTGGTTTTTTTTTTGTTGTGTTTGGAAGGATTGGTATTAGAGCTGTAAAATCAGTTTTACTTCTTTGCTTTCTACAGAAGAGAAGTTTGCCCAGGCTGTCTGCTTCTTGCTTATAGACCTATACCTTCTAACTTACCAAGCTGAGAAAGCCTTGCATTTGCTTGCTGTTCTGGAAAAAATGATTTCACAGGGCAACAACAACAGCAAGAATGGAAAAAATGAGGTGAGCTTAAAATAAGATGAGTGCCACTAAGTCTTTACATGAAATATGCTTTAACAGCCAAAAAATACTTTTATAAGACTTCTGAATTATAAAACTGTTAGATCGCCTCTAACTTCAGACAGCAACTTATACGTGTTAGTAACTGAGTTAGTTTTATACAGCAGCTGTTTATTCCCTCTGTTTCATCCTTGTCTCCTACTCCCAGGGAGCTAAGAAGTGTTTTAAGTCAGACGGTTGTGTTGGAAAGACAGTTGTTTTCATGGTCAAATATAATTAGTTTTCCTTATTTGTCTTGGATTTATGACTATGAGACTCTGAATTTGAAAGGGAAATCAGTGTCAGAGGGGAATTGCAATTGCATGCCAAAGGATAAGAAATCAAGCATTTTTTTTATGCAGTATCTGAAAGTATGAGGAATACTTTCAAATGAAATCTTTTGTATGTGTCTTCTGAAAAAAATCAATGGAATGACTAGTGGCTTGAAAGTGAAAAAAGGATATTTCAGTCTTTTCCCATTGATGGATTGTCATACTTAAGATAAAATATTTTCTCTTTAAGTATATAGTAATTCTATTGATGAAAATATTAAAGAGAGACTAGAATGTGCATATAATCCTTCTAGGTAAGAGAATTCTTAAAATGCTTCAACTGCAGAGCAACATAGTGTAACACTGATGTTAATATAGAATTCTGCTCTTCATAGGCTGTTGTGGCTGTTCATGGGTTCTGATTGTTAAGCTCGAGTTACAGGTGGGATGTGTATTTTTTGACTATTAAATAGTTTTCTTCTTGTGCGATTGATAAAAATAGCTTATGAAAGAATCTGTAAACTGAATTTAAAAGGTGACTAATAGTAACACTTCCCTTTTTCTGTTTGACAGTTGGGTAATAATACAAATAAAGATTCCTCGAATCAAAAAGCTGAAAGCGGAGCTTTAATAGAAGTTGCTAAATCTAAGATACATCAGGTAAGTGTCTGCATATTACTTATACAAGTATATTAGTTCAAGTTTTTCTTAAAAACAAGTACCATCTGCTTCACATCCAGTTCAGCATGAATTGTGATATTCTGTCTTGAATTTCATGTGGGAAACCAAAAGAATTTATTTAACTCTTCATTTTTTAAGAGCCATGTAAAGGAAAAACTGACCCAACACCAAAAGAACCCCACGATTTCAGTCCTCACAGTTTGTCATAATTTTTTTTTTAAACTACAGTTAGCTGCACTGACCTTATATCTGTCAGACCTCCAACAGTCTGAATCAGCAGAGTCTTTATTTCACTACTGTTCTGTAGAAAAATATTTGAAGGATCAAAATGCTTCTTTATCAGCATTCACTAATTGGTGTATTCGGTTTAGTAGGTGAATGTCTGGGATTAAGAAGTTAGGTTATTTTAATTAGTTTGTCATTTGAAGTGCTAGTATATGTTTGAATAGACACTAGCTGTTGACCATTGAACAGAATGTGCATCTGCTTACTGTGAATGCAAAATATATACATTTATTGTTGAAGGTCTGAATATAATGTCTTTTTAGGAAGGCTTTTTGAACAGCTTTTTACTACCTGGCTTTAAGATGCACATGAAGTATTCTGTAATAAATCTCTAGAAATAGTTCATCTTGCAAACCTGCACAAGTTCTTGGTTGGTTTTTTTTTTTTGTTTAATAAATGTAATTTTTTAACAGTATAAGGTGAGAGCCTATATCCAGATGAAGTCACTAAAAGCATGCAAAAGGGAGATCAAGTCTGTAATGAATACAGCTGGGAATGTAAGTATTCTCAAAGCTAATGTTTTTCTAATGTAAATCTGTTCTCTATCTTAAAATTGAATTTTCTAACTTTCTTTACAAAGCAAGATCTTACTGCAAATGGGTGTCTGAAATAATGCTTTATGCAGTCAGTTGGGTTTGTAATCTCTTCACCACAAGTAAAATTAGTGTAGACTTTTCTTACTTGTGCTGTTTTCAGTTGCTCAGAAAATGCACTTTATGATTAATAATTCCAAATTAACAGTGAATCACTATGTAGTGAACAGGTTCAGTTTGCTTTATAATGTAAGCAGCGCAAGACAAGTTTTAGTTTACTATGAATGTCACGGGTATTACAAAGGTCTGGTGTCAGTGGTGATTTAAATCGATTCATAAAAGATTAATTCTGTGATACGCTTTTTTTGGTTTTGTTGAAATTTGAGGCTTACCTCTTGCTAGAAAGCAGTTTCTTTTTTTACATAGGAGTTCTCAACTCAGAATTATGTCCACCATCCCAAATAAATTCAACATTAAATGAGGAGCAGGGAATGGGAGGAGAGCACTTCCCTTTTGTTGCCAGCCTCAACAGCTACTAGTTTGACAGAACTACAACAGTCTCTGTTGGCAGACCAGGAAGATCACAACCCAGGAGGAAGTTGTTGAACTCCGCAGGGAGGGAACTGTTGGGAAGAGTGTACTAGAAGACAGGTTGGAGGAAGATCCTCCTAAATAAAAAGGAGATCCTCTGCACTTAGCCATTGCCAGGACAGAGTTCTCTAGACTGGTGTTGGGTTTTAGAGCAGTAACAGTGTATGAATCATTTTGTAGTTCAGAGGAGGTGAGTGTAAATCATGTGCTCAAGAAAGAAATGCTGCTTCTTGAAAGTATTAGGGCCTAGGCCCATTTATTTTTAAAATGGCAGTAGAGGCCAGCTGTGGAGTAATCTAACATTAGCAGTGTAAATCATAAACCAAGAGGTAATTAATTGTTGTTTTCTCCTTCACAGTCAGCTCCTTCTCTCTTTCTTAAGAGCAATTTTGAATATTTGAGGGGCAATTATCGTAAAGCAGTCAAACTTTTAAACAGTGCAAACATTGCTGAACATCCGGGCTTCATGAAAACAGGTAAAATAGAAAACCTTCATCCTGCGAGCACTTAAATGTGTAGTATAATAGGAGTACCCATAGATATTAATATAAAGCATATTAATGATTACTTAGGAAACTAGGCCCTGAATATCATGGGTTTATATGCTGTATATGTTTTAATCTTTCTTGTTGTGCTTCTTCATGTAACACTGTTGTGTTTTTCACTGAGTGTTCTTCTAGAAAATGCAGCAGTTGTCTATGAAAATGAATTTGTGAAAGTGTAACTGTAATATTTGCAAGGCTCATCTATGTGTCTAAATCATGACATGAAACAAGTAGCGATGTACTAGACCTAGAAATGAGATTTCAGATTATACTCAAAGAAGAGAGAGACTATAGCAGTTATAATGATGATTGTGGGGAAAATGCTAATGTTCCATGAAGTGTTTGACTTCTATTGTATGCCATTTTACATTACTTTTATATCTAGAAAGTATATATGTGTAGACATGTACAAAAATTTACCAGCACATCAGTGTGTATAATATTTAGATACAACAGTTATTCATATACTATAAATATATATTCTGTGTTTGCATACTGTGTATGGTATTATTTAAATATATTTGAGATTTTAGTAGACTGTTTAAAGCATCAGTTAAAAAATGCAGTGAGAAAGCTGTGTTTGGTGTTAGGATTTTAAAAAAATCACTTGTACTGTAAAACTACTGAATTCTAAATAATTTTTTTAAATTCTGTATTTACAGGTGACTTTAATAGAAAGCATTCAAAATATTTCCATAATGCCTATTCTGGCATATTTTGACACTTCTTTTAGAATTTACTGTAACTTACCTTTCTGTCAGTTTTTATATTTAAAGTTCTCTTTATAACTGAAATTTTTCTGGAAAGTTTTATTTTCATACACCTTTTTTGTACAGTAGAATGTTCACTTAATAGTCTTTCTAGGTTATGATTAAAACATTGGTTAAGTTGTTAATAGTGTATTTCCTGGTGGTTTGGATTTTTAAGCTGGGGTTTTGTGGGTTTTTTTTCTATCCATGAAAACCCTGTAATGCTTCAGTTACCAGCAGGTAAGAGTTTCATTTTCTGTCCTTTGTAATTTAGAAGGAACTTCTTACAGTGTTACCTGAACATGATATATTTAGGAAGGAGAGTGCATTTCCTGTTTGTTTTAGGTTGACATATTTGTTTATTTTATAAAATTTAGGCAGGTAATCTCACTTGAGAATTTCCTTTTCACAAGAGCCATCTGTCAGAAAACTTGAAGTACTTGCATGCTAAGCTGTATGAAAACCTCCAGGTGAACTTCTGTAGCTTGCAGTCTGTCATACTGGCTTTATACCTGGTTATCCTAAAATATGATGCTTGGTAGCTGTAAATCTGGCTGCTTCACATTTCAGGTCAATTGTGTACTAGAACTAGAGTGGTATACAGCAATGTAGGTTATTAAACTGCTTGCAAGGCAGAGACATAACTGCATAACCTATGAACATCTCACTGAAGAACATGTTTAGTAGACTACCATAGCATGCTGACCCATGAAAGAGTGATGGGAGCATTTTACAGGCTCAGTGGTATTTTTCAGTTTACAGAAATGGTCTTTTGTTCTCTCAGGTGAATGCTTAAGGTGTATGTTCTGGAACAACCTTGGCTGCATCCACTTTGCAATGGGAAAGCACAATTTAGGAATTTTTTACTTTAAAAAAGCCTTGCAAGAGAATGATAATGCATGTGCACAACTAGGAATGGGCAATTCAGATCCAGGTAAGGCTTTTAAGAGATAAAAACAGATGGTGAGAGGGGAAAGTGAATCAAGAAAGCAAATGATAGGAGCTTTCAGTAATTACCAGCAGAATTCCTGTTTCATCTCTTTGTAGGGGAGCAGGGTAAGGAGAGTGAGAATTTTGATTGTAACTTGACTTCAGAGTACAGTTGCTGTTGCCAGAAATAGATGATGATTAAATAGGTTCTTTTTTTTTCTGTTTTCTTTGATGTGTCATGGGGCTGGGACAGTTACTTCTCCCTTGTTCATAGTCTTGGGCCATCAGTCAGGGGGATGTGACAAAATAAAGTTCCTGTTCTAAAGTTTCTTTAAAATCTAGTTACTATCACGCGTTACTGCTTTTCCCATTCCTCCCCTGGCCCCGTATCGAAGTGCAGTCTTAGGCAGCAATGTCAAGATAGAAAATGTTTCATGCTTTGTTACAGCAAAGAGGTTTTCTTCTGGAATTTATATGATTAACAAAAATGTGTATTCTCACGAATCTGGGAATCAGTATTTTTATGTAATGTTTAGCTTGAGTGGTTGGCATTTAATGAGCTTCGACCTTTATTAAGAACACAGAAAAAGAATATTGAGCAACCTTGGTCTAGTGGAAGGTGTCCCTGCCCATGGCAGAGGATTGGAACTCGGTGGTTTTAAAATGCCCTTCCAAGTGAAACCAATCTATGATTCTAATACAATTAATTTGGCTTTGATGTGGAAGGAGTACACAGAGGGAGGCTAGTGGATTTTTGTGATGAAAGGGGTTTGGTTTGGGGTGTTTCCCACAGCTTCTCTCCTCCTCCCAGTGTTACGTTTCTGCTCTCCCAAGCTGCACATCCAATCTAATGTAATATTTTCTGCAGGTAAAAAATTTTCAGGGAGACCCATGTGTACACTACTGACTAACAAACGGTATGAGTTGCTCTACAACTGTGGAATTCAGCTCTTGCACATTGGGAGACCCTTAGCTGCCTTTGAATGCCTGATTGAGGCAGTCCAGGTTTATCACTCAAACCCTCGTCTTTGGCTAAGAATAGCAGAATGCTGCATTGCTGCCAATAAAGGGGTAAGTAGATTTGCAGATTCCTTATTTTGATTGTAGTTATGAGAGGCATGTGATCACAGAAAGGAAGAAATAGTACCTTGGGTTGGACTATACGTTTTAAAGGCCTAATGTTGCAACACCTCTATGTAAATCCGTATTATATTTGTGTGTATGTGTGCATTTGCATTTTTAATCTGAAGCTGCAATAGGTGGAGGAAAGCCACCACAGAAACTATGTCTTGAGACCCAGTGTTCAATTAACTTTTCTAAGATCAGAAGAATTTGAATAGGCTATATGAAAGATTGGCTTGAGATCAAACAAAAGCATGTAAGTGCCTGTTAGAGCTGCTCCTCTATAAAGTGACAAGTTTTTTGCTGGAGACACTGGTTAAGTTTGGTTTTGTTTTGGTAATTTACCATCACAGCCCTTTGACATTACAGCTCATAATCTGAACGGGTAGTCCTAAATTGGTTTGCAGCACATTGGATTTCCCAAAGTCATCTCATGGTTTACCTTCCTTGAGCAAAACTTGTGAAATAATTTTAGAAATACAAAGTTTTTTTTCCAAATAATAAATATATTATTCTCTAATAGACATCACTTTATAACAGGAAGCAATATGGTCTTACTGCAGTTAATGCTTTCTACTTAAAATGCAGATACTGACATTATTGGTTTGATTTACTATTTATGGGTATTTTATGATGCCTCATACTCATTTCATATTGGTTGCAAAATCTTGGGGTTTACGTAAAACATTTATGTGGTAAGATATAATATATGGTACATATTTTTAATATATACCATATATGATTTTACATGCGGTTTACATAAAATAATAATATGTAAAATATATAATATAATTACCATAATGTAATACTAGATAATATATATAATATTATACTAATATAAAATAATAATATAAAATAATAATCCCCATGTAAAATCATATGTGGTATGTATTAAAAACAACAAAAATCCAGCCCCACAAGTTAATTCTTTTGTGTGTGTGTATGTGTGCGTGTGAATATAAGAATTGAACTTGCTCAAGACTTTTTCTCTGTGCTAATTTCTGTACTGCCAAGGATTTCTGTATCTGGATGGCAGAAATAACGAGGTGAGATTGGAGTCAGTGACCATTTGTGTATCCAAGGACAGAAAATTGTTGTGGCTGCTCTGAAGGTTTGATAACTCACTTCAAGGCTTGATGCACAGAAACAACTTTGATAACTTTTTTTGCTGATAGTTTGAGGTGGAAGGGTTGTTTTTCTTCCTTTGTTTCAAAAATGTTTCACTGAAACATCTTAGTTTTTTATGTTTATACTCTGGGGGTTGCATTTACTGCTTTTGAAATGATGAGGTTCTAGCTTAAATCTTAGCTGGAGTAGTAGGAGAAAACATGCATCTACCTAGTAAAGAGTCTTTGTCTTTAAGGCTAGATGCTACAGTGTAAAAGGCATAACTGAAAGTATGTTGCTACTGTTTTAACAGACAGTAAGGTTGGGGGCTTATGTTTTAATAAATATGGTTATTGGATCAGATTGGTGAATAATACTGTTTTAAAAAAAGAAAATATATAGCATATGTCCTAGAACTTTATTGGAAGATGCAGACTCTTGTAGAGGACAAGTATGTGGTTATAGAGAAGCTTCCTTCCTGGGATGTTCTTAATTAATTATTTACAGGTTTTTTGATGTACAAGTGATACAAACTCTTTAAAACTTATTTTCCCTTTTTTAAGGAATTAATTTGCATGAAACCTCTGCTGATGATCTTTCCTTCTCTTCATGCAGCCAAAACTCTTCAAAGTTCATTTATTTCCTCACTCAGTTACTACTAGAGGTTGAGAAGCAATATTGTAGTGTGCTTAGCCTAAAACTGGCATAGACTGAGGAAGCAGAGATGAACCTTTTTCATCCTGAAGTAGTCCTGATCACAGCTGCTGGGGAACTGAATCCCTAGCTGCTGAGGTTTGTCATTTCTCTGCTGGCAAAGTTTGTGGAAACCTGCTGACAGCAGATGTATTGCATGTCATCTGGGACATACTGGTTTTAACCTGTTGATCCATGTCTATTTAGGATAAGCCTGTTTGTTAAAATTCAGAGGGATTGGGACAGGATTATTCATTCTTAGAGCAGGAAACTGCACCAAAATAGTATGTTTGTGAAATTAAAGAGATACTGTACTCGATTCCCTGTGAAACTGTCATTCACCCTTGTGTGTGTGTGATGATGTAATCTGTAACTGAATGATCCCATGCAGTTATTTCCAGACTGTGCCCATTTCACTCAGTGCACAGGGTGTATGGGATTAATTGAACAAATGGTTATATTGACTCTATTCCCCCCCATCTGAATTCTCTCTTCCCTCTCTGAGTGGCCTGTGTGCCTTATTTACTGCACATTCCTCAAATCCTTCAAAATAAAAAAATCATAACTTTTCCATTGGGAATTTCAATGGTGCTAATTATTTTGGAATCTCTATTTCAGCAAATGTAAGGAAGATATTCACAGCTTTTTTATAGGAGAGGTTTGCTTATATCCCCATTTCACAGACACAGCATTGAAGTTTCAACTGTTGGGCCAGATGATGCCAGGCTTCTGAAGGGTAGCTTTCTCCCTGCTACTGATGTGATGTTGTGGTGTACCAGACAGCTTGAATTCATGTCACAAAACCAGCTTGCTGCTTCCTAAATTTGTAATTGTACAAATTGTACAAAAAAAAATGACCTTTCATTAATGTTGATGTTTTCGTTAATGTTTTGTAATGTTAATGTGTTTGGTTTTCTAATGTTAATGGATGCCCTTAAAGGCAAAGGAAGTGTCTTTAATTTATAAGATAGATTTGCAACATGACAAGTGAGGCCCTAATATCAAAGGTGTGTTTAATTTCATCTTGTAACTCAATTTGCAATAATCCTTGATATCTAAGCATGGATTCACAATTATACTCTGGACACCATGCAGAAAAGAAATTTCACTGAAGCTAATCTTCACCTGCTTTAGTATTTTAGTTTATAAAATACACATGGAAGATGATTCCCTTCTGCATTTTTTCAACACCTCTTCTAAAATGTGCTGCATATCCAAACTCATTGTATGTATCTTTTTATTTGACAGTAAATGCCATCATGATGTCAATAATTTTTCTTTACAATAGATTCTGATAAATTTTCTAAAAAGTGATAGCTATTTAAAGTACAGTTTTTCTTTACAACTGTGACACTTCATCACTAATTTTACTTACCAACAAAGTTGTTAAGATGGTAAAACAACCAAACCTCAGTAGATGTAGTGTAGAGAGCTTTGAGTTCTGAGACTGACAGTTAGAGTGATTTTAAGTTAGTCTTAAATGTCTGCATACTCAGAAATCTGTTAGTTTAATGTAACTTTGCGTATGTTGTGTTTCAGCTTCATGCTCCCTGTGGAACGGTTGAGGAAGCTTTTTTAGAGGGTGTTTTGAATGCTATGTAAGCAGGAAGAGAAGTTGGCAAGTTTTGCAGTGCCAATTCTGAATATTATTTGTCAGATCATGATTTCCTTTTTGATATCCCTGCAGTTCTTTTAATATGATTTGGTTCATTGCTCTTTTGCTTTCAAAACAGAGGAGAAACTAGGTCGGTAGGCCATCAGACAAACTGTCAGAACTAATCGGGGTTACGCTGTGTGCAGTAAAATGCCTTTGCAACACAAAGAGAATAAAAGGTGCCTGATCCTTCATGGTACTCAAGATTTCAAACTGTACCCATATAAACTATTTATTCTTACATTTTAGCAGCTTCAAACTTCTCTTCCAGCTTTCACTCATTTTGTCAACCTTTCATTCAACAGCCTTGATATTTTAGTCCTTTTTTTTTTTCTTCCTTTCAGACATCAGAACAAGAGACTAAAGGTCTTCCAAGCAAAAAGGGAATTGTGCAATCTATAGTAGGTCAAGGCTACCACCGTAAGATAGTCCTAGCATCCCAGTCAATACAGAATGTTGTTTATAAGTAAGTAAGATTTCAGTGGGCTGTTTATTTTTGTTATCATAGCCTTGTTAAGGATACCTGTCTGTTTATCAGGCGTTTTCAAAACTGTAATGGAATAACTGTTCATTTTGTAATTATTAATAAATATAGGGAAGACAGAGGCATGCTAAAATGTTTGAGGAGTCCTAACATCATGTGCATGCCTCCTCTATGGTGGCCAGCAGAGGGCCCAACTGTGTATCTGTTGTAACTAAGAGGGATTAAAGCTTAAAACTGATTTACCTCAGATTCATATTTCTAGTTAGCTAAATCTTTCCCCTTTTTCTCACTAAAAAAATACATCTTTTTCACTAATCCACTTTTCTAAAGTTCAGGGAGAATCTAGTTGCTCTGCCATAAAACTTCAGGAAGTGAAGTCAAGAAAACCAAGACAACTTGTAATTGTTTTTGAGTCTCCTCACTCTATTTGGGCATCATGGCATACTTTTGATAAATAAGAATAGCAAGATACATACACCTTCATAAGTTAAATTTGTTATATTAAAACATGATTTAATTTTTTTTAGGATAAAGTTTTCTCTGCATTCAGATCTTTCTGAAGCTCTGCTTTTACTGTTTTAGTAGGATTGCTATTTGTTGGCTAACTTCTGTGTCTCTTTAAGCGATGGGCAGTCCTCAGCAATACCTGTAGCAAGTATGGAATTTGCAGCAATCTGCCTAAGAAATGCCTTGCTGCTGCTCCCAGAAGATCAGCAGGAGCTAAAGCAAGAAAATGGATCTAAAACTAGTAATCAGCTGGGGGGAAATACAGAGAACAGTGAAAGCAGTGAAGCATGCAGGTAAACAGAATTGCATATAAACCTTTCTTTCTGTCTCTGGGCTGACAGTCTGTGTCTGCTATCTCTCCTGTTTGGCCAGCAGAAAAAAATAACGTGTAAATTCTCTCAGTAGTGTTGGGATATCCAAGGATATTGTTTAGCTGTTCATTGTTTTAATTGCTGGAATGCTAGTTTAAGACTACGAAACTGAGTTAATTCGTACCATTCGTAACAACTTTAATCAATGAGACAGTGGCATTCATTTTTTTCCCTGGCCATCTTTTTTTCTGTGGTGCAAATGTTATGTTTTCCAACACCCTTCCACTGTGCATAGTGGTATTTCTCTAATTATAAGTGAACTTTCACATGTTACAGTGATTTTATGTGTGTGTGCGCGTGCACCATGTACTTCATTCAGTATGAAAATGTCTGGCAACTCAGTTGTAAACATTTCCCCATGATCTGATTTGACATTCATCAGCCCTAGTATGCTTTGTCAAGTTTGTTTTAGACTAGAAATGAGAAACTAGATTTAGAAGATTAAGTAGGAAAGCAGCATGGAGCTATTGCTTAATAAATCGCTATTTACAAAAAAGAGTTTTTTCTTAAGCTCTTTTTCTCCTTAAAGATTCAGAAAAAGTAACTTGTAGGCAATATCTGTCAAATGTAAACATTAAATAGCAGGAAGGTAGTTTTGGTTTGTGTTTTCTTGTTTTGTTTTTTGTTTTGTTTGTTTGTTGTTGTTTTTTTTGTTTTTGTTTTGTTTTGTTTTTTTGGTGTGTGTTTATCCTGGTGCATCCAAAACTTCTTTCTGAAGAGTAACTTTTCTAGCCATAGCCTGTGCTTTCACTAATGACCATTTTGAGAAGGGAAGAGTTACAATAACTAATCTGTGAAAAGTGGCTATGTTAGAACTTGAACTACTTAGTAATAAAATACCCACGATGTTTTTGTCAGACTCAAGTACAGATAAATTTTAAGAAGATAGGATCCATTTGTCACCTACCAAGGATTTACTGCACATATGCTGTGTTGCATAGGCACAGCACAGCATACGTGCAGTGTGCGAGAGACACAGCCTCTCTATTCTGAGGTTGCCTGGAGGCAGGCTATGGCTAGGGGCTGGTGGCTGTTACTGCTGCAACCATATTTAAAGTCTATTTACTGTTCTCTGTAACCTTCTTGTCCCAATGACAGTCTTTCCTGACAAGTTACTAAATGACTTATAAAACTCTGGGGGTTTCTGTGGTTGATGTTTTGGGGTTTTTTTGTTTGTTTGCTTTCTTCTTCTTTCCTTACTGAGATTGGCGGTTGTGAACTAACTTTCTCTGGCAAGCTGTATGCAGCCCATTGAGATGAAGCTTCTCAGGTTTAAATGAGAGGTCAATTTTAAGCTTATGGGGCCCACTAAGGGGCAGTGATGAAAACAAAATGGTGACCCTTACTCAGACAAGACCTCCTTTTTTGTTTTGGTTGCAGGGTGGTGGTGTTTGGTTTTGTAGGAGTGAGGAAAGGAAAACATGTGCTATATGGGAAGATACTTTACTACCTTTGCTTTTAAAACCAGATGCTTCTTCAGCTTAAAAAACAACACAACAGCAACAACAGAAAAGCCTCCCTCATATCTTTCAGTTCTCATTGCCAATTTCAAAATATCCAGCAACAAAGCTGGCTGTTCTTGAATGTGTGTCACGTTCTGAAAGATTCCCTAGGAATTTGTTACTTCTGACAGAGGAACCTCCATGAGAAAAGAATAAAATGCATAAGGCATTTGAAGAAAATCACACTAATTGAGCAGGATGCTTTTGGAGCAAATGCCACCAATTGAGCAGGCTGATTCTGAGGCAGATTCTTGCTTATCCACAAAAAACAGTAAACACTTTGAACGGTTAAGGGTACTTTTTAATCTAATTTTTGGCAAAGCCATGAAGTATCTACACTACAACAGCATTGAGTACAGTTTTTCTTGGTGTCTGTTGCTTTCCGTTTTGAAGGTCTAAGTTGGAAGTTACCTGTTTGTAATAAGTAGATATGAAGCTGCATCAGTTTAAAAGTTCGTGTTCAGTGGACAGACTCTTCTGAAATAATTGTAAAAATTAAGTGCAGCTAGAAGTCTAAAGTAAGGTGCAGAACTTTGTGTGTTATCTTTCTAGATTCTTTATGTAAGTAGTTTTTAAGATATCTGAGGAGAGAACTAGTTTACTGCTTTTCTTACAGGCTGAAACAAAAGAGGCTACCAATGCAGCAAGTTCTGTGTCTCTCCAGTTTAAAGTTCTTGTCCTATTGAGAAATAACTCAAGGCTGTGGAGAATGGTGTGGGTTGTTTGGTCTGTCAGTCAAATCCTTCCCAGCAAATGTCTTTCTTCTTCCTTCTCACACAGGATGGTTTGGATAAGAGCATGTGTCTCAATTTCTGCATAGCTTCATTTCCCTGCTTTTTAGGCTATAGAATTTTTGCTGTCCTTTAAATGGAGTGAATAAATATTGATGCTTATTGCACTAAGTTTTTTTTAATTGATTATTATTTAGTCACTCTTTAATACACTGTTTTTATTCTAGCAATAAAAGTCATGAAGGGGATAAATTCATTGCAGCTCCACCTTCTTCACCTTTGAAGAAACAAGAATTAGAAAATTTAAGGCAAGTAAATAATATAAAATTATTATAAAATATGAAGCTGTGCTATGATTCTGGAGTCATTCCTAGCTTTTTGTTTGTTTGTTTAAGCACTTGCAACACTGAATTGTAGCTGTTAATCTAAGGATGCCTCTTTTCAAATGTGTGTGCTTCCTTTCTTCTGGGCTTTCAGTTCAAACAAATAGAAACCATCCAGAATTTCAATTCAGAAAGTGGATTTGTCTGTTTGATCCCACAGTTATAAGCTTAGCACTATATGTTGTGCAAAAATAAAAGACTAAGTCCCATAATGACAAAGCTGAAAACATGACCATGGCTACTATTCTGGTAGGTGGAATAGGTGGAATTACTGTGTGGTAGCTTTTCTCTTTAAGGTCTTGATAAAACTAGTTTGGAATTCAGCCCCCACAACATTGTATACTTGTTTGATTGGGGGAAAAAAAGGAAGTGGTGGAAGCAGCTACGCTGCTTTTAGATGAGAATGATGCTCCTTTCAGCAGCAGTGAATCAATAGTTTGCATTTAAGAGAAAGAAGAGTTGCTGGTGTCCCGGCATTTGACTTCCTCACCATGGGAGAACATAGGTAAAATTTGACTGTAGATTTTTTTTCATGTTCTCAAAGGTATTTAAGTTACTTGTTCAGTAGTCTGAGGGCTCTCCAAACAGAGTAACTCCCATGTGTCTAAATAAGTATCGTGTTATCTGGAAACCTTTTATTTTTCCCCAACAAGATTATCATTCCCTGCCAATGTTAACTATTACAGGTGGCTGCCAGCCTGCTGAAAATCTCTCTTACTATAAAGCATCCACCTGTTTAGGAAAAAGAAATCTGTTTTAAGTTTCCATTATGAACAAAGCATACAGTAATTTCCTACAGTAATTTCCTACTTGAACTCTTGGGTAAACACTCTGTTCCAGCCTAAAACCCAGGTAACCTGTCTTTTATAATGACCAGCTTAACCTTTGCTTTGCTCCACTCATTTAAAAGCAATTTAGCAGGAATCTGTAAGGAGACTTTAGTGAGACCCTGATTATTTATTCTGAAGTGGTACAAGAGCATGCAACTCCAAATAGAAAGCACTGGATTAAAAACAGTGGTTGTGGTTTTGGTTTGGGATTTTTTTTTTTTTCTCTCCTGACTGTTGAAAATGTGGTTGCTGCATGTCAAAATTACATGGTGTCACTTTATGATTTTCTTTTTTAATATATAGTTTTTTCTTTCACAATCAGCTGTTGTATCTACTGATGAAACCTGACAACATGTCAGGAGAAACTTAATCAGTTTAGCAAGAATTACACACTTCTGGTAAGGAACATCATATAAGGAAAGGAAAAGCATTGGTTTGCTATTTTGCCATGCTAGCTTTGGTGGTTAAACCCAGAGGACCAGACATCCCTAGAATGCTTCTGCTAAAACTACTTCTAAGTTTCTGTAGACAGCTGTGAAAAGCAAAATACGTTATGCTCAAATGTTAGTGTATTCATGTAGACTTGTTCACTAAGGAGCTAAGTGAGAAAATGAAAATTCTTGTCTAGTCAGGGAATATTAAGAAAAAATACTGAACGGTGGCAAGGATTATCCTGAGGAATAGGTGTCTATTCAATTCAGTTCTTTTCTGTGAAGTCACTGGATTATAAAAAACTCTTGCTTCTAGAACTGAAACAGGCAACTCAAATGCTTTTTTTGCATCATTTTGTACAGGTGCACATCCTCCTAAGAGTTTAAAGTGATTGACTTTGCCCCTTAATAGTTCTTAAAAATTAAAAATACCATGTAGAAAAGGCTTGTGTGTCATATGTATTGTTTGGTAGTTGAGCAGATCGTTCTCACATTAAGCAATAATTGCAAGGTTTTAAAAGCACTAAGCAGAAGTCTGAGGACACCAAGCATTGCTAAGAATTGATGCATAGGCAGTAGTAACTCCAGGTTTTTCTTCTGAGTTTCTTCTAAACAGTTCTGCTCCTTGCTGCTTCTCATCCTCTGAGATGCCAGTTCCTCTGCTCTGCTCTCAGCCTGTGGTATGTTTCACCACACCGGAGCAACCCAACACTGTTGGGATATATCAAGAGTAAAGGAGGTCTGGTAGACCACAGTGCTACTAAATTTGAAATTTTGTAGATTGTATTGTGAAAGTTGAGATGGCTAGCAACAGCCCTGGTTATAGCCCTTTTCTCCCTGCATTGAACAACTTTGTGTGAGAATGTTGATTTTCCCCTACCGAGCAGCTAGAGATGAAGGAATAGTTTGATCACCTGCTTTGTCCTGAAGAGAGATGGACTGCAAACCCTTGATGTAAGCCATATGATCCAATTGTACCTTCCCCCACCTTTCTTTTGACTCTTCAGCCCATCATTATGCTTTATTTTATTTTCTTGCATATTGTTGAAGTGTGCATACCCTAGTATTGTATATCATATTCCAGGACAGTCACTGACATTGCTGATAATTTCACAGGTAATACTGTAAGGCCCACGATTACCCACTGATATACCTTGTCTCTTCTCCCCCCAGCTGCCTAGTTTTGCCTCTTTTATCCACTTAAAAGGTTGCAGTGGGATGTTTGGCCCTGTCACAATACTGAAAGCTCAGAATGCTAATCATCCCATGGCTGTTTATCTCTCTTCTTCCTCACTCTCAGCCACTTTATAGTTCTTCCTCATCTCCCCTTTGCTGGTGCTGAATTTCCCCATTTGACTAAGCACCTTCTGCATTCTGTATTTCTTAAAATTTTGGATAGTATTGTCTGTGTTGAAAGGTAAAAAGCAGAGAGGTTATAGCCACTGTTGTGCTCAGCTAGTAGAAATTATCTCACGTTAATGATGCTTTCTGAACAGTTTAGAAGTGCCGTTTTTGATGTCTTCATAGTAAATTTTGAAGAACTAGATTTGCTCTGGCTTGCCCTTTGCCTGAGAAATAAGCCAAGTCAGACGGGGAATTTGGGTTCTGTAAGCTTTCAGTCTGTGTGGGCTGACAAATCCTGTTGCCTAGACCTACACAAGAGGCTGTTTGACATAATCTGGCAGTTTAAAAAAAAAAAAAAGTTTTTCTTTTTCCTAGTGCAAAGGCAGTCTTATTTTGGGCATGCAGAGGCTCACTGATGCTGGAAGAGTGCCATGCTCAAAGGCAACCTGTGGCGTTTTGTCAGAATCCTGACCAGGGTGAAAAACTAGTTTGTCTTTTCCCTTGTGCAATTCTTCTGCTCCGGTTAGCTGTCAGGTCTCCTGGAATCTCCTGATTCCAACAATGGATCCAAGTGTGCAAGAACAGTACTGCAGGGAAGAAAGCCTGAATGTTTTCCTCTTCTTTAGATGGCTATAGCTGAAGAATCTTGCTCAGCTCCTACAAGGCTTAAACAGTGATGGGTCTTTAGAGCAGAGGAGTAGGTTTCAGTTTTGCTGGGCTAACTGTTGTGTGATTGGAGTGTGTCTTGTGTTTGAGTTCATGCATTCAGACGTACAAAAAGGCTTTTAAAATGTTGTGGGAAATAGAAGATACCTATTGGTATAAAGGCCAGTAGAAACCAACTCTGCATGCCTTGACTTGTATTTAGCTGGTGATGCTTTGCATCTCTGCTGGTTTAAAAGCTGTGCTTCCTTGGGGCAGAGATGAAAAGAGGCTGTTTAGGAACAGACTTATTACAGAAAATTAAAAAGAAAAGAAGTTCCCTTTACCCTCCCTGGTCATAATCTTTCAGAAATATTTTAGGTTTGAGATTTGAGCTGGGGAAGCTTTCCTCTCCCTCTCTCAAGCTTTTGTATATGTTCAGATTTAATGTGACATCTGGGCACAGTGCAGAGGAAGTGGGGGGTAGGGAGAAATACTGGAGAAGCTTCTTATCCTGCTTGTGTGTAATTAAGGAGCATGCCTCCTGGGAAAGGGGAATAAAGGCACCCCAGGTCCTGCCACGAATTACATGACTTATTGCTAGACTGAAAATGGGCTTGACAGTTGCCAGAAGGTTGGCACGGTAATAGCCCACCTACCAGCAGGAGAGTCGAAGGCTTTCCTCCCATTGCTCCCAACATGAGACCTCACTAAGAGGATCTGCTCTTCCTCCCTGGAGAAGGACAGTCTGCTCACAGCAAGGTGTCTCAGGCAGAGGCTTGTGCCTTTAGGACAAGGCAGCCTGCATTGAATAATGTCTTACCAAGTGGAAAATAACCCCAAGTGCCGTGTTTGGGAAGGGAGAGGGCAGTTATTACAAAGTGTGAAGCTTGGCCTAATAATGGCATCCTGGCATAGAGTTATTGTTTGGAGATTGAAAATGCAAGTAGTTCCAATTTTATTACAGAAACTGCCAGAGATTTGGGGGTTTTGGAAAGATAAGAAAAGTTTGTGATGGCAATAAAAAGCCACAGATCAGTTGGAGTCTTGGCAGCAGGTTACAGCTCTCAAAACTGGAAATACCAAATTCTCCAGTGTTTGTTGTCTGCCTGTGTGCAAACGTTGTAGAATACAAGAGTGAAATGTGCTACAACTTCATTGATTCCTGTTATGTGTCTAGAGATTTTACCTTGCTGAAATCTACAAATCTGCAACCCTTTGCTGCAGCGGGGGGGGGGGGGGCGCATACAAATCTGAGTCCAAACAAATAAAAAGAGGTTGAGAAAGGGAAACCATTCCTGAGAAAAATTATAAAAATATGTGGTGAGGTCCATCTTTCTTTAATCTGTTACTTATGGTCCAGATTGCAAAATCTTACTGAGCAGACCGTGGTGATCCTTGGTTTATAGACCACAACGTATGTATCTCCTAATTCAGAGAATGCGATTGAGGCCATAGATAATGGAACACTAGCTCCTTCATAGATTGATGCAAAGGCACTATTGCAAGTTTATGATTTATTTTTTCACCAAGACATTTAACAGCTGCATTTGGAATTGCAGAATTCTCCATTTAACATATTGGCTTCCCCCCCTTTTTTTTTCTTTTTGTTTTTTCTTTTTCCTTCCAGGTGCTCAATACTTGCGTGTAGTGCTTACGTGGCTCTGGCTTTGGGTGATAACCTTATGGCATTGAATCACGCAGATAAACTTCTTCAGCAACCAAAGCTGTCAGGGTCTCTTAAGTAAGTCTGATGTGGTCGTTTCTTCTTTCTTAGCCCTGCTTTTTGCTGGAGAGTTCAGAGTTGAAGCTTCCAAAGTCTGTAGCTGCTTGCCAATTCTGTATCTGATGCAAAGAATTGCTTGGCCCGCTCCTGTTCTTGTTGAAGCCCTGACTAAATGTTCATTGACACGCAGGAACGTGAGTCCCCTCCTTTGTGTATGAATTCCATGTAATTCAGAATCTATCACTGCTTTTGTTGCTATTTGTTAATCTCCAGCAGTGGCAGGACCATCTGGTCTCTGTCCTTATTCACTGTGGGGCTGCACGTGCTGGCGCTGGCACAGCACAAGGGGTAGGAATGAGCAGCTGGGGGTAGACAACATCAGCCCAAACCGGTGTGCTGCTGAAAAGCTCCCTTATGAAACTATGGCCTCAGATGGTAAGGTTTGCTCAGTAGGGTACCAGATCTTGGGTGTGTAGGACTTTCACTTCGCTGCTACTGTTGTGCTTACAGTTTCCATTCTTCACTTTCTCAGTTCTCATTTGACACTGTATTTTTGGGAGGATATTCAAAGCTCATTCTGTTTCTACCCACCAGTTCTCATATATCTCTTTAAGCAGCTTTAGCTCCATCCTTCTGACCTTGTATGTACATTTAATTCCTATATCATACACAGAATAAAATATATTAGAGGTTTTTATTGTAGTACTACTTTTCAAAACTGGTAACGTATTTACAGAAAGCAAGCTAACTTGCGCTTATTTTGGTATGCAGGCAGCATACTCTAAAATGGTCCACACCAATAAAAGTATTTGGCTCCTATGCTCCAGACTATTGCTGGAGCTCATCTTTTTGCACAGTCATTGTACGAGCAAGATTTTAGAGGAGTTTGCAAGGTACACATACTTTCATGAAGGCAGTGTTACCACTATGTAATGCAAGAAATGCTAGCTGACAGTTGCTTTGGGAAAAACAGAGACATGTCTCTTGGTCCCAGGAAGCAAAGCTTTTGTGCATACTGGGAATATTAAACTGTTCCTGTTTTCTTAGATGAAATAACTTGCATGTAGAATGTTATGTTTTCTATATCAGTTCCACGTTGCAGAATTTATTTGGGACAACTGACTGATATTCTACCTGATTATTTTGTAATTCATTACAACCAACTGTGCAGTCAGTTTGAAGTGTACTGTTTATAGCTGCATAGAACAAACATGAACGTTTTTTGCTCAACTTTTGTTTCAGATTAAATATTTGCAAACTATGCTCTTGATTGACAGGATTTCTTCTGTTCCAAAATTGAAAGGGAAAGCTGCTGAGTAGCTGAGCTGACCTACAAGTGTCAAATATTAGACTTGCTTAAATCATTTGCAAAACCTGCAGTTGGAAAGGTGTTTGTGCCCTGTGGAGAGGCCTGTATAGTTACTGTTCTTAGAAATGTAGCTATTATCAGAGACTTTATTTGATTTTTATTGAATGGAAGGTCACTTAACACCTTAAATTATACAAGTATCCATATCCTGGGGTGTTTTTGTAAGGATTCATTTTTTAATTCTCTGAGATAAAGCCATACCAAGGCACTGTCTTGCTGGACTGGCAATTCCTGGGCAAGAATGGTCGTAACTCAGGTGCAGATGTTTTTAACAACATTAGCACCTAAAAGCAGTAACTGGCAGAACTGGGTATTGTGACAATACTTTCTAAGCAAGCTAACTTCCGCTCAGGTGTTTCAAGTAATAGTTTTCATGTACTCACATTAAAATCTGCATTCAGTTTGTCCTACGTAACAAACTGGGGCTTGTTAAACTGATATTTGTACCTAACCCTTTGTTGTTGCAGGTTTCTTGGGCATTTGTATGCAGCAGAAGCTCTCATCTCTTTAGACAGAATATCTGATGCCATCACTCATTTGAACCCGGAGAATGTCACTGATGTTTCCCTTGGGATCTCTTCAAATGAGCAGGATCAAGGTTAATGAACCCACACTTCATTAGAACTAGTTATGCTTTCTGTTGCTTTCCTGCTGTAACTTCGTATATGCAAATACAGTGATGATTGCGACATCTTAAGTGACATGAATTCTTGAGCAAACTGATATAATTTCCCTCTTTAATGCCAGACTGTGAAGAAAGAAATTTGTATCTTTGTGTTCTTTTTGTAATAAGCTTTAAAAAACCTCACAGAACATGATGGGGTTTGTGTTTCTTTTTTCTTTGCAGGGTCAGACAAAGGAGAAAATGAGACAATGGAATCTTGTAAGTACCAGACACTGCATAGTGTACAGGAAGTTACTTGGCCAGTTTGGAATAAAAATGTAGTTTCTTTTTCTTTAATTGCAGCTAGCAAGCAGACCCCCCAGTGTTACCCCAGTTCAATCACATCTGCACGAACAATGATGTTATTTAACCTTGGAAGTGCTTACTGCTTGAGGAGTGAATATGACAAAGCTCGAAAGTGTCTTCATCAGGTATGAAAAACAAATCTCAAGATAGCTTTGGGGACAAATGTGCTTTTTTCAAAGTGCCATTTAGATCACAGCAAATCCTGGTGATTCCATAGCCTAGGCCTATTTGCAGACTTTGCTGAGATGGTGGTTCTCTTCTGTCTTTATGAACCGATCTCTATTAGTAACGTAAAATTAAGGAATCCAAATTTCTTCATGTGTAAATAGTTCAGTACCACTATGGGAAGCACGTTTTCTTCTAGGCTGTATCAAAAGAGTGGAATATGACTAGGAAGCCGTTTCACTTTTTTCCAAGTTTGTTTGTGTGTGTGTTGTTCTTTCTTTTTAATGGCTTAGTAGTGATTGTTATATTTCAGAGGAAATATAACAATCCAGTTCTTGAGGGCCTTGAGTTTACTTCTCTCTTATCAGTTATAACTCACCATCTAAGGTATTAACTTTAGGACTGTGAGAACATACTGCAGTGCACTGGAGATATGTTCCTTGCCTGCCTTTTGTCCAAAGAGTTCTCAAGCACTGCTTTTGAAACTCTGTCTTCACTTAGCCTGGCTCATTTGGTCTTTCTTATGGCTGGGACCATCTTTTTCAGTGATGATGTTTGTCTCTTTTTGTAGCCATTCCTGTCTGTCAGGAAAGACTACTCAAATGATTTGTTGAGATACAAGAGTCTTCCAAATTACTTCACAGTAGTTGTGTAGTGAACAGATTCAAATTCATTGAGGTTCTCAACTGTTTAAGGGAGTTGTCTTCGTTTTTTTTCTCCCAAGACTTCTTAGGATTGGGCAGGTGTCTGTGTTTGGCCTCTGCAGCATGTGTAAAACCCAAAGGAGTGTAAGGCCACCTGTGGATGTAGAGTATAGCAGGTGTCTGCATCTACAATAAATTAATGAATTTGACTTTGTAGCCAAAAATATTTATATATGGAAAGCTAATGATTAATCCCTGTTAACTTTGTATTCTGAACTTTGGAGAAGTGGAGGTTACTTTCTTCACCTGTCATCTCACCAGGAAACCACAATAGATTGGCCTAGGAATTTGTCCTGGGTTCAGCAGTAGCAGTCATTTTTCTACTTCTTAGTAGCTGGTGCAGTGCTGTGGTTTTGACTTTTTGCCTGTGAACAACACTGATAACACCAACGTTTTTAGTTACTGCGCAAATGTTTACTCTGACCAAGGACTTTCTGAGGCTCATGCTCTGCGGGGGGGGGGGGAAGCTGGGAGGAAGCAGAGACAGGACACCTGACCCAAACTGACCAGAGAGGTATTCCATAGCACAATACATCATGCCCAGTATATAAACTGGGGGCAGTTACCCAGAAAGGCTAGATCACTGCTCGGTCAGACTGGATATTGGTTGGTGGGTGGTGAGCGGTTGTAGCGGTTGTATTCTCTTCCCTTGTTATTTTCCCTTATCATTATTATTATTGGTGGTAGCAGTAGTGATTTGTGTTACACCTTAGTTACTGAGCTGTTCTTATCTCAAGTCATGGGAGTTACATTCTTTCGATTCTCCTCCCCATCCCTCTTGGAGCGGGGGGGAAAGAAGGGGGGGGCGGGAGCGAGGACTGTGTGGATAATTTACGACTGAGCTTAAACCACGACAGAATTACAGATTCGTATTAACATAAACATATAGCAGATGGTCCTGCTAACTAGTGTGAAACACTATTTTCTTCTCTCCTTGCATGCATAAATGTGCTGGAGTGTATTAGTTTGAAAAAGTCTTTAGTTTAGGAATTGTTACTTGTTTTTGTTAGCTCAGATGGTGGTTAACAATCTTGTCAAGGGGCACTTTCTTTAAGCTGGATGTTTCTCATGCACTTTTTCTCCCCATCCTTTTCTTTTTCAATAAGGCTGCTTCTCTGATCCACCCCAAAGAGATCCCTCCGGAGGCTATTCTGCTGGCTGTGTATCTTGAATTGCAGAACGGTAAGTAAGTTTGGGAATGTTCTACCAACCTGGACATAGGGTACAAGGGAAGGTGGGCAGTAATGGTCATTCCTAGTCTTTATAGAGCTGTGACATTTTGAATTTAGGTCCCATCATCTTCATTTTTACACTGCTATGGATCCCTGTATCCACACCCTCAATTCCATAGTTTATTGCCATCCTGGTCTTGACTTCCTAAACATTCATCTTCAGAGCTGAAAGCTTCTATGCTTTTTGCAGGAATCTTTGTGCAGGAATCAGCCATCTTGGATAGTCTCAGTAAAACCTGTGATGAGGTTTATACTATAAAGAGGGTTTGAAAGGCTTTTCATTAAGACAACTGCAAACCAGGTTTCCCAAGGAAGCCATGCCAAAGCCTGTGTAGGAAGTACTGCAGTGAAGCTTGCAATATTCATAACTCTCTCTTCTGAAACCCTTCCTTCTTTTTGAAGGTTCACTGTGTTCGCATGGAAGAAAAACCCAAACTATATAATGGGGAACTGGAAAGACTGCACTTCAGTTCTGCAGCATGAGCAGACTAGTGCAGCTGTGCTACACTGTCATGGTTGTGGACCTGTGCCCCTTGGTGCTTAATGTCCTCACGCTATGAAATGTTCAGTGTGCTTGTTTCCCTTCAGTTGTCTCGCATTTCAGGCAAGCAGTGCACTCGAGCATTTGTATTCAGAATTGAGACTGCTACAACGCCTTTCTTACAGAGGTATTTCTAAGTCGGAATTTTGGAAACCTTTGTTTCTGCAACAAAGTAGTACAGAGCAGAAGAGAGCAGAAAGTGGGATTTACATCTCTCCTTTGAAAATATATAATCAAACGGAGCTACAGGCATTCTTTTTTGTTCTATAAATGGCAACAGAACACTGTATCTCTTCTGAAACAAAAACTTTAGTGAAAGGAAGTACTTGATAAGAGGGAGAAATGTTCTTTCTTTTCAGAATGTAGCAGGTTTTCCCTTAGAGTTTTACGGTTTAACAAAAAGTAAAGTTTTCTATTTACATTGGTGTTTATTTGATGGGCCGTGCATACAATTGAAAATCAGATTATTTTAAAAGCATGTTGTAGAAACCCTCTTGACATTTGCATTACTGTCTATAACATCACATTGTGGGGGCATTTTGTGTGAGATCTAGAGTCTTGCTGTGTGAATGGGAGAGGTGCCCTTCAGGAATTTAGAAGGTGCTCTGGCATCTTCCAGATGTGAGGTGATGTCTTCACTAAGAGTAGGCAGAACCAAGCAATACTGTCTTTTCAAATTAATTGTCTAATGCTTTTCATGTCCATGTCAGCATTTCACTGAATAGGAAGACTACCACTGTATGTGGCCTGAGCCAAGGGCTCTGTTCTGAAAACAGTGATTTATGGATCATACAAAGGCACTTGGCTTTGTTGGGGCTTTCTTTAATCAGCAGTTGTCTTGTAGGTAACACACAGCTGGCACTGCAGATCATCAAGAGAAACCAGCTTCTCCCTTCTGTGAAGACACTCTCGGACATGCGGAAGAAGCCTGTTTTTCAGCTGGTGCACTCCATCCAGCCTATTCAGATGCCAGCCTTTACCACTGTTCAAAGGAAATGAGGTTTCAACCTCCAGCTGCCCTGCCCACCAGGACTTGGGATTTTGTAGTTTTTTAACCTATGACACCTGCATACCCCAATTGGTGGAGTGTGTTCATTTATGTAAATTTTTAATAAAACATGGAAACAAAAAGGCAGGCTTGGAGGTGTTTCCTTAAAGGAAGGTTGGTATCGGTTTTGAATGTGAGTAGCAGTTTACTTACCAATACAAAGCAGCTAACCAAGCGTGTAATTCAGCACTTTTCAAAGAGATTGGAAGGAGGTGACAGGGAGGAGTACCATTTACCTAGTCTTGTTGGCTGCTGTGTTTTGACACACATGAGCTATGAGCTTGTATTCCTCAAAGAGGCTCTAAGTTAACAGAGCTATGCTCCACTTCCCTGAAGCATGTGGGAGTATGGTCCTTGTTGTGGCTTAATCATAGGTGCAGGAGAGCATGCTGGTGTAAGCATCGGGCCAGGTTTCCTTCTATTGTCTTCCAAAGTGGTGAGTGGGGCTAGTGAGCTGGTTGGTAAGTGACCCCTTCTGCTGCTTATAGGCTGCAGGCCATGGACTGCTCCCACAAAGCCCAGGGGCTCTGCCTGCTTCTGCCTCTTCAGCTCAATGGGAAGAACCAAAATGCAGGTTCCCAAAAAGGGAAAGGTGCAAGAGGTGACTGGTCAGCAAGGACAAAACTCAGTGCAGCTGCTCAGCCTTTGCCAGCAGAGCAAGGCCATAGGGTGAAGGACAACAGGCAGCAGGCAGTAGGTGCTCCTAAGCGACCAGTGCTGGGAAACACTGTTGCTTCAGCAACATGAGGGTTATCGGTTTTGTGTTGGGTTTTATTTTTTAATTCTCCTGGGGTTTCCTTTGCCCTGAAGGAAGGTGTAATGGTGCAGGTACAACAGCTGTAAGAAACAGGATTTGCGTTTAGGTCTGGTTGTTTTTTTTTTTCTTTTTCAATGTGGTTTTTACTTTAGAATAATACCTCTTCCAAAAGCATTTTCTTCCTTTTGCTTGAACCAAGAGGCTCCAACATAGGAGCGTAACCAAGGCCCTGCTAATTGCTTATGGTGAATGAGCATAGGAAAAGAGAGAAGTGATCGTGCCTTGAGACTTAGTCCAGCTAACCTGAGCCCAGCATGGAGGGTAGCATCTCTCCTCACTTCCTCTCCCCAGATAGCTTGTACCATTTCAGCTACTCTTTGACTTTGCCCAGATAACCTCCAGGGTAGAGCTGGGGTAATACCTTATCTCCCTGTGCTGCTGGCAGTGTACTTTGCCTCCAGCCATCACCAGGAAGGGCACTTTTCCCAGCAGCCGTTTAGGCTGCAGGGCCCTAAGTCTACTCACAGTAACTTGAGCATTAGGTAGTGCAGCTTTGCTCAGGAGAGGAAGCCTGTGGGACAGTCCTGGATTTGTCCCCAGCAGCTTGACCAAACAAGCCACAAATGACAGAAAAGTGTATTAAACAATGTACAAGTGGGTGTCCTTTCAGCAAGAAGCTTGAGACCTGCTACTATCTTCTCCTCTGTTAGTTTCTCTGCTTTTGAAGGCTTTCAGAGTAATGCCCATGTAGCTTTTTCAATAGCTTTTCCAATAGCTTTTCTCTCACTGCAAGAGGTAGCACTGACTCTGGCCTCATGTAGAGGCAGTTTAGAAATAGTAAGAATTTAAAAGAAATATGGAAAAAAGTACATAGAGATCACCTTTCTGAAGGGGAAGAATAGAGCCAATACATCCCTCAAGCCAGAGTAGATTGACTGATTAAACACAAAAAGGTTAAAGATGCTCCCTGTGTGATCAGGCCCTGAATAGAGAAAATTCTACTCTACCCTTCCCCCTGTCCGGGAATGCAGGGCATTCACATGCAGAAATTACTGAGTCCCAGCAATGCTCAGCTCCCCTCAGGGCTCCAGGAAGGATGGATGCAGGTGTTGTTCCCCAGATATCCCACATCTCATGGCAACTGTATTTGCATGGGAATAGGAGCATTCAGCCCAGCTCCCTCATGACAAAGCCTGTTGCACTGACCACAGCATCACTGTAGTTTCATTTCTTTCTCACCCTCGGGCTGCAGCACCTACTTCTAGAGAGGAGTGAGCAGTGGTGCTGACATTCAGCTGCAGGGTGCATAGCATTAACAGAATCGGGGGGAGGGGTGATGTCAGAACACATCCAGAAAGGAAGCAGTTAAGGGTCTGCCTGTCTCTTCTCACAGTCCACTTTGCCTTTTCCCTCAGTTGCTACCCATGGTGGAAATTCAGTCAGTAACCTTCATTCTCTCAAGCCATCTTCTTATCCTGCTCACCATGTCTTCTCACCTTTTCCAAAGTAGCAGCTTTTTAGCTCTGCAAGATGTCACATAAGCATAGAAAAACTGCATGGAGTACAAGTGGTGAGTTCAGTATCAAATCCATTTCCTCCAGTTGTGACAGTGAGGCTGGGTTTTTAATAGACCAGACACTCAGAGCTTGACCAACACATCAAAACATTGTGTGTTGATTTTTCTATTTCATACATCACCATTTCTCCTCCTCTCTCCTCTCAAAGCAGGTGCCTCTGTTAAGTTTCCAGCAGGCCTCATCCAGAGGAAGCCAGTTTCAAGTTGAGACAAGTGTTTTCTTTAGTGCATCCCGACAGAAGGGTTAGCCTGGGCAATACAGAAACACACACACACAGGTTTGCCATGAAAAAAACTCCTCACATTTATTTGATTAAACAAAAATAAAATAAACTGCATAGGAACATTTTAAAGTCCAGAGAGACACTGACTTTGTTTTAAGGCTGCCAGTAGCTGATACATCATCTCCTTGCTACATCCTTCAGCCTTCCCTATGGACCACAAAGATACATTCAGAAGCCTCCATTAACACAAGGGTTCTAACATTTTTGCTTACTCTATGTAAAAGTTTGCACATAACCTGTCATGCTCAGCATCTGAAAATCATGTCGCCTTTTATCCAAGTAGTAATGTCATTGATGCCTTTTTTGGAGCATGGAAGTTCTTGTCACTGCCAGTCTCATTATCAATTATGATATAAAAGCTCTGAGCAGCTCATTAAAAGCAGAACCCTACCTGTGCTGCTGAGACATTATCATTAGGAGAGCAACAGCATCAATCACTACAGTAGGAAAGAAACAACTGCAACAGAAGAGGGAACTACAAAACCAAATTGGCTCCAGATGCCAAACATCTACGGACTGACCAAGTCCTTTCAGGTCCTGATGCAAACCTGCACTGAGGCAACACTGCTCAGAGAGTGGTAATGAAGCTTTGTAAGATGAGGCCATACATCCACAATTACATGAGGGGAGGAACATGCAGTAACACTGGTTGCGTGTAGATGACCCCAGTTTTGTTGGAGGCTGCCAATCTGTTTGACTGAAACTGCACCCTCACTACTCCAATGAATTGTGCACGAACCAGGCAGCACATGACAGGTAATGCACAGTACAAACAAGAGTCACAGTAAGAAACCCCCACCAACTCGGGTGACTACACACACCTTACGAACTAGTTAAAAACTTTTTAGTCATTTTAACAAAGGAACTAAAAACAAAACCCAGAAACAGACATCTCTCCCTGTGAAGGAAAAACTACTACATTGGCTGAAGAGTACTCTACAAACCTATAAAAGGACTTATTTTTCTTTTTTAATCTAGTCTGGTAGTTCAAAAGGAGAAGTTACTTAACTACATCACTACACAGACACTTAACATTCAGTCAGTAAGGCTCTATGAAAAGAGCTTAAAAAAATTATCTACCTGAGTTTGTAAGTTGATACAATCATTAATAGAAGGTCTAAGACCATGCAGGTACACAAAGCAGTTTTAGAACCATTATTGGTTAAAAAATGATGGAACAAGATGCCAGTCTGGCTCGTTCACCCGTAAGATCACTTAGAGACATCAATGTACATTTTCCACCAGAACATTTACCAAAACCAACACAGCCTATCATTACTAGGGGTCTCCTGTACCCACTGCTGTCACCCCCCAGTATGAGCAGGGGAGGAAAAAAAAAGTTTTGTCAACATAGTAATCTGAAAATGTGCTTCTGCAACTTCACAGGTAAAACAAGGGGCACATCGCATGTCACTATTCAAGTTGCATAAAACCCCACCATACTGGTTTTAAACTGCCTTCCTGAGAATGAACCTGAACTGCCCTCCAGGAACAGGAACCTGGTTGCTTTGTCATGGTGGAAAAAATCCCATTGAGTCAAGAAAGCTGCTAATACAATCACCAGGTCAAAATAAAATAAAAATAAAATAATTAGGATCTTATTCCCTTCAAGCATTTGGTATCGCATTTGTGTTTACAGCGCTCAGAATGTTCGTCTTTCCGAACAGGACATAGTTGTAGGCATGCAAAGTTTTTCTCTTGTAGAGAGAAGACCTAAAGGCCTTATGGACATTAGAACACTGCAAATGACCATGAAGCGTGCATCACATCAGCCAGTAGTGTCATAATACTGAAAAAGTTTACATTTCCATACTTTGTAGTGAAAACAGAACAAACTCAAAGTGTTTTGGTATCTCAGTCTAGTTCACCTGGGTTTATTTACAGATCATCTCTAGCAAGGACAGCTTAAAGTTTCCATGGGCAGGCAGCAAAAACAAAAGCAAACAAAAGCAGTTACCACATTGTACACACTTAGTATCTCTGTTTAAACTGAAATGCTTGTCCAACAGGCAGGATGAATCCTTCCCCCAGGCAGATTCTCCATAATTTCTCAAATCTGTCTGATGCTAAATTGAGGTAGATGATTTACTTCTGCAAAGTGAGGTAGAACTTCAAGAAAATAGTGGCATCTCTAGTTGTGCATTTTGTACCAAACTAGGTTTCAAACTCCCAAGGACTCAAAGACCAAAGGTACAATATTTGTCTAACACAAGTACCAGTGTTCATTTTTTTATACAGCTCCAAACTGTTTGTCTAAATATCTCTACTTCTAAATACCCTATTACCTTTTGGCACCATTTGGCTTACACTCCTTCAAAAATAATAAAACACTTTGGCACAATTTACTTCTTTTAAACCAGAACTGAACAAAGAAATCTTATGATCACAGTTACAGCAAGATAAGCCAAGAAGCCTGCTCTCTTCAGAAATTAATATTGGTTTAACTGTAATGTAATAAACTGGACCCATTTACCTGCAATTCTAAGGGAATGCCACATCCACATGCCTTGTATTTTCTCCCAAGCTGATTACATCTGCCCCCAATATGCTAACTAATGACAGTTTTCAGGTGTTGCCTTCCTTCACTTTCTTTACAAGTTTAAGGCTTATGGGCTGACCTAAATCAGTTGTATTTAATAGATACTAAATGAAAAGGAGTGTATTATCTGAAGGACCTGTATTACCAAGTACTGAGTCTGCTTCAGTTGGCTACTGAAGTGCCTTCTCAAATAGTTCTGAGAAAGGACAAGATGGCTTCACAGGCTGAACCCAAAGCAGCTATCCTGACTGAGGAAGTTTACTGAGAGCTACTGGTTTAACCTGGCATAGTGAAATTCCTTTGGGAGTTCAGTAGGCAGCTCTGTCACTCAAATCTGTTGTTCCCCAGTGTCAGAGCTAAGGGAAAGAAGCACATGCTTACCTCTCCCTTCTCCAGGTCATTCCCACTATTAAGATTACTCTGAATGCTTGTTCAGTTTGAAATCCAGCCTCAAAGCCTTGCTTTTTCTCCCTGCATGTAAGTATATATGTTATGATACTGTATGTTATGTTATGTTATGATACTGGGCTATTAACCTGAGAACATGCATGGAAAAAAGAGCAAGGTTTGAATGTCATTTAAATAAGTATTACTTTTTAAAAGCCCCTATGAGGCATCTTATGTTGGCATTGTATATCACCGCTACTTATTTTCATTGCATATAAAACACTCCATTTTATAAGCTACACTACCACTTTTCAATGAGACCAAGTGTGCTTAGCACTATCTATGACAAAGATAAGGAATTATTTTGTTTTTAAAACGAAAAAGCTCCCCAAGATGTGAGGTCGAACACTTGAGGTTTGGTCTGTAAGCAAATCACACTGGATTAAATAGACAGCAACTTAAGAGTTAGTCATTCTGCTTCCTGACAGAGCTGGACTGGGGGTTTGTGCAATGGCTCCATACAAAATAGCGAAAGGCAACTTCAGTGTCTGTCACCTTCTATGTGGTACAGCCTGCAGAGGGGCAAGAAGGTTTCTGCAGTTCAACATAATCCTGAATGCATACTTAACTTCCTTAGTTAAAAAAAAAAAAAAACCAACAACAACAAACACCTCCCTTCTAGCCCCAGAGAAGGGGGAACCCAACAAGCATTAAAGCACAAGAATATTTCTAGTGTACTTTAACACTGTCAGCCACACTGGCAAAGGTATCAAAAGACCTGGCATTTCTATTAAGACATGATAGGATAAATGCAAGGACACTCCAAACTAAACGTTAAAGCTTTTTAAACCAGTTTTCTTTGGTATCTACATCTTTCAGGCTATTAGGTTTTTACAGCCCAAGCTGAATATCATTCTTGGACTGAATAATACAAGACAAGCGTGGATATCTGTCACAACTGTAGGTAACTCCCAAGAAGTGAGGCATGTATACAAGCAGAACTTGACAAAGTTGAAGGTAAACTAGTTTTCTCTCATACCCATATTTTGGAGTGGCTACAGCAATTTAATGACAGACATCTGTATAAAGATTATCCTTTAAAGACTATTTTAAACTATGTTATCCTAAGATTAAGCCTAACTGAAACACATTGCTTTGAAGAGCTTGCTTCCTTGAGGCTTTGGCTTAAAGACAGCACAGTTATTTTATCTCACTGAAGTTAGGTGTTCTTTCCTCACCCTTCTTTCAAAAGAGGTTATGCCATCTCATGAATCTGTCCATTTCTTTCTGGTCCTTTAGTTTAAGCCTCCTCTATGGCAGCCATCTGTCTGCACACATCGTGGGGATTTCTACAAAGGCCAGAAAGTTAACACTCCTCAGAGGGGAAAAGCAGCAAGAAGGAAAGTGCACCTTGTGATTTCTCACAAGCTTGTAAAGAGCCGTTCAATCTCAGGTCACTTTTGTGCATGGTGGCTGGCAGAGATGAACCCTTTTCTTGAAGGATGGTTAAGGCTTTTTGGACTTTCTGGTAACAACCACATTGACGTTTCAGACATGATCTCTTGCAAGCAGTAAGGTAAATCCCATGGCATTTCCAAGCTTAAGAGTACTGATACATGCATTTTTCCATTGCAGAGACATGGAAAAGCCCTCTGTTCCCTACTTTAACCACTGCTGATTGCCACCAAAGGCCTTATGCAGAGCATGAAGCAACAGCTAAACTGGAAAGTGAGACATTGAAGAATAGACAAAAATACTTCCAGGGACTCAGAAAGTCACATTTTGCTAGAGAGATCGCTATTCTCCCCAGACGTTTCTGCTTCTCCAAAAAGCTATTTTTATATCCCTGAAAAGGCCAACTTCCTCCTGCCTCCAAGCTTTAAAGGATCATATACGTTTATTTTACACAAAATTCTTTGGTACTGCCCTGGAAAAAAACACAGTGAGGTTTCATCTTGACGCAGTTTGCCTTATGCTGGTACTGGTAACTTTTCACTAGGATCTGTAGCAAGAGTTACATGGAGCTACAACTCCACCCGACCTTAAAAACTACAGCAGACCTTCCTGAATTTTTCAGTCCAGCTCTTTGGGGAAGCCAGATGAAAAAAAAACCACAAAAAACAAACCCCAAAAACTTTTGTCATTGACAGTTACTGCAATCCTCTTTAAACACACACAAAAAACTTGCTGACTTCTCCAAAACACACCCTGAATCTCCAAAGCTATGCCGATTTCTTACTTTTGGAAAAAGGTATCACTTCTGTTCTAGCAAATCCAAACATCATTCTCTTAAAGTCTTTCTATAGGGAGGGGCCAAAAAAAAAAAAAAACCTAGTCGTTTAACAAGAAATTAAATCAAAAGGGTTTGATTTTCCCTGCTTCAATGCTCCTTGCATCCTCTTCTGCTACCCAGATTAAGTGTAATGATAAAATACACAGTAACTTTTAACTCACTTAAGCTTTCAGGTAAAAAGGGTAAAAAAAAAAAAAAAAAAAGAACTACTAACTGATGGGGTACATTAAAGGAAGCCTTGCTTTTCTCCTAAACTTTACAACAACTGCACCAAACCATTAAAATGAACAATTTGGTTTAAACTTAAAGAATTTTTGTGCATTTTCTTCAGCTTCAATTTGTGCTGTCGGATTACTGTGTTTCAGAAAAATACACACAGAAATGCCAAAACCCAGTAATACTACAAACTTGCTCTTCCCAGTGAGTGAATCCCACTCACTGTCACAAAATGTTCCAAGTCATCTGGGAGCAAGATGCTGCGCTCACCGATAAATCAAACACACTGAGGTATAAAAAGGAGAACAGGATAAAGTTCTCTGCTGCAGCAGCAATCAAACAAAACAAAAGTGTCCCCGTCCCCGTCACCCCCCCCCCCCCCAAGAACTGCAATATGGTCATGAACACAAATTCTCTACAAACACCTACTACCATTTTCTCCATTAAAAAAGTTACATAGAGCCTTTTTTGGCTTTGTCTACAGAACCCGCCACACAAACCACCTAATGTGCACAGCAACACTTGTTTGTGCATGAAACCCCATTGGGGGTTGAAAAAAAGAGGTAAAACATTCTGAACTGTGAGTGTGTGGGGATGGGGACAAGGGCAAGAAACCAGGGAGGGAAGGGAGGACAATGAGGTAGATAGAATTTAAACTTTACAGGCTCACTCCCTGCACAAAAGATAAGTACATTCATCTGTAAAAAAAATTAAAGATGAGGTAGGTTTGAATTAACGTTGTATTTCTTTTCATTTTTTCTTAGAAGAATTTCCCTGAGACAGTTTCTTCCTAATTCAAACACCGATTAGAAGATGAGAATTCGATTGTTTCCAAAATCGACCACAACAATCATGCCATCAGGGGTGACAGCTATACCTGAAGGACGGTCCATCTGACCAAAGCCACTTCCCTGAGTACCAAACTTGCATAAAAAGCTGCCATTTGACTCAAATATCTGCACCCGGTGGTTCCTGGAGTCAGCCACGATGATGCGCCCCTCTTGATCCACTGCCACTCCCTGTGGGCGCAGAAACTGGCCATTCCCAGTGCCCTCCGAGCCCAGGAAGCGTGCCGACTGGCAGTCCGGATGGATGACCAGAAGGCGATGGTTGTTGAAGTCTGTTACTACCAAGTGGCCCTCGTGATTGAAAGTCACACCTCGGGGGGAATCAAAGTGCTTCCAGAGTGCCCCTTCAAAGCCATACTTGTTCAGAAACACACCATCCGGCCCGAATAGCTGAACACGATGGTTCCTTGTATCAGAGACCAGGATCTTGCCCTCTGCGTTGACAGCCACATCCCATGGGTAATTGAATTGCCCATTCTTTGTTCCTTTTTCCCCAAACTTCAGAATGAACTGCCCCTCGAACGTGAAGATCTGGATGCGATGATTGTCCTTGTCAGCTACAATGATGCGACGCGAGATGTCGCAGGCCACACCGGCAGGGCGATCGAACTGCCCCGGCCGGGAGCCCAGTGTGCCAAACTTGTGGTGGAAGGTCCCACATGGTTTGAACACTTGGACACGGTTATTACTCCGGTCAGCAACAATGATGTAGCCTTCTTTGTCTACGCTAACTCCCCAGGGGCGGCAGAGCTTGCCATCGCTGTCTCCCTCACTGCCAAAGGAGAGCCCCGGCAGTCCAATGCCGATGTAGCTGCGCCCAGATTTCACCACAACTTTGAAAGGGCTGCTCTCAATGTGTTGGTTGCACATCATCACGGACACCAGGTGCTCCCCCTCCAGCTGTGGACGGTAGCTGACCAGGTAGGTTCCATTCTGCTGGTCACTGACATCTGCCCCAAAGAGGTTTCCATCTGGGCCCATCACTACCACAGAGATCATGTCACCTCCTGAGAGGCGAGGCTCACCATCGTGGTCATAGCCTATCACTGTGAAAGAGGCCACTTTGCCCTGCAGTGCACGCTTGAGGCCTTCCCCAGTGGCTTTGGTCAGAGGAGCAAAAGCCCCACTGCTGACAAATCCCATTGATTTAATGGCCATATACAGTGCCTGGTCAGGGGGAGTGAACATGATCCTGTCATCTTCCTGTGGCTGGAGAAGGCCTCTCACATTCTTCAGTTCCTGTACCTGAGCCAGCATGCGGTCCCGAGCCAGGAGAATATCCATAGTACGGCCTTCCTCCAGGACCTGCTGAACAGCACTAATGGTGTTGTCCAACTTATTTAGGTTCTGACGTAACTTCTCGACTTGCAAGTAGAGGGACTTAGCCTTGACTTGACGAATCTTTTCCACCTTACAGGGGACAAGGAGGGAGAGAAAAGCACATTTACACCAGGAAAGACAACCCATAATGCAAACATTCCATAATGTCACCCTTCTACATAAAAACTGGTTGTGCAGTTGTTTCAGTGTTGTGACACACAACTGCAGGACAGGACTCTAAAAGCCATGCTGCAGACAAGCAGAAATAAGGGAAAGGTATTATTTATCCAAATTCAGGATTAATCTCTCCCACCCTCCAGCCCACATCATGCATTCTTACTCTGCATGATCTGCTGGAGTGCCATTTGAAAGAAAGTCACCTGCTTACTAACAGTGTTTTGCTTCCCCAAATGCTATTCTAATCACAAGGTACTTGACAGATCATCCAAAGGTACATTTTACTTAGACTCCAGGGGGGACAAGCAGGCTCTCAAGGAAGAGCAGAGACTGAAGACTTCTCTAACCAGAACTGAGGCCAATTTCAGAAGGTAGGCTGCTATCACATAAAGCTAAGGATATGAGTCAGCATCAGCTACTGCACAGGGGCTCTTGCCATTCCCCTGTCAGGGCTGTGTTCATGTGACTGGACAATACCAGACATATCTCCAGAGATTTGTGGGGTCTAATCAGTTTAATATTTTACTGCAAATTGGGGCAGTTATGCTGAGCTAGTGCTTTATAACAGTACACTTTATAATGTCATTTCAAATGACAGAAGGCCACTACCAGTCCCTGCCTGGGGGGTCTGAAGCCGAACCAAAAATGGTTTGCTTATAACTATTTTATATAGGCCTGTGTATATCTTCACTTGTGAAAAACCACTTTAGACCATCTGGCAAAGACACCTGCTGTGTAAAACTAACCAAATATGAAATTGCTTTATTGTTACAAAAATACTTTTCCTGCTTGGCTGCAGTACAATACCAGAAATGTGTTTTAAGGAGGGACGGCTCACTGATGACTGCTTGGTTATACACTGACTAGATAACAAATGTACAAACATGCTATTTCACTTCGGGTTAAGGCATGCATCAGAATGCAAAATAAAAAGGAAACAAATGCTTTCTCCAACACATTTCCAAAAGAGATTTAATCTTAAATCACAACTTAATCTGGCCTCATCTTTGGTACTCAAAACTATTCACTAACACGCTTCACATGAAGGCTTAATACACTCAGCTGTTTTTGCTAGAATGGTTTATCACCACAACCAAGTTTCCTTCTTAATGTTTTATATAAACTGAAGAGAACTTGCTCTCAGTGCAGATATTCCACTAAAGTGGATTTATGCAGCCTCTCAAGATACAAACTGCACAGGGGCAGCTCTTCCTTTTCACTAGGAATACCTCAAGAGATAGCTGCCAAGCTTCCTGGGGAAGGCTAACAGTGGAAAGTGAACTCATGTCCCTCAATCTAAGTACCTCAGAAAAAGCAGCATTAGAAGTACAGTAACTATAAAAAGTACAGTTTTTACCTTGCCACTGGCACCTACAATAAAGCACTCCTGGCTGGAGAGGGACACTGCTTTGAGAATAGTTTTTTAGGTGTGGGAACAATGGAAGTCTTGCAGAATTTCTATCAGTCTTTCTAAAAAGGACTCAGCACATAAGAGCTTGACTCCTTTCCTTTGTTTATGAGAAGTGGATCATTAAGAAAACCCATATACTAGTTCTACAGCAACATTAAAGAGGTTTTAAAGACACTCTTTAAATAATGTGTTTAAAGGTGATGTCTTCTCTCTCAGGTCAGTACCAAGATATGAGGCAGAGGGAGTGCCAACACTGCTTGTGGGACTGAGCATACAGCAGTCCTTATACAGCCAGTTTCTCAGATAAGAAATATCTACAGCACAAAACCAACCAAGGCCAGAATCCAGCATCCTACCTACAGCAAAATGAGCTCAGAGTAAACCACAGTGTTTCAATTCACTGTTCCTTTGGAGGAATCTAGCCATGCACTAGTTAAAAAACATGCTTTCAATTTTGAGAAGGTACATGTCAGCAGTTCACATAACAAATGTAAGGTGCCTACCTTCCAGAGCAGTTCACACTCCCGCTCTTCCAAGGCCTTCTTATGTCTAGTAGTCACTACTTTGACTTCAGACTGTACCACCTTCGCTTTCATCTCAACCTGCTCTGCCACAGCCTGGGCCTGCTCAATACTCAGCTGGGAGGGAAGAAAAAAAAAAAACAACAAACAAACAAACAAAAAAAACCACAAACAAAAACAAACAAAAAACAACAAAAAACAAACACAAAACAAACAAAAAAAGAAAGTTAGGGCTCAAGAAACCAATCAGAAATGCATCAGAAGCCAGACTGCTTACATTTCACTGTCCTTCAGGTGAAGGCATGAAGTGACAACTCTCATTTTTTTACCACACCTTTACCTATTTCATACACCAGAGCTTGAAAACAATTAATACCGCTATACATACACCCATATGAAGACAGGCTGAGAAAGTTGGGGCTGTTCAGCCTGGAGAAGAGAAGGCTGCGTGGAGACCTCATAGCAGCCTTCCAGTATCTGAAGGGGGCCTATAGGGATGCTGGGGACAGACTCTTCATTAGGGACTGTAGTGATAGGACAAGGGGCAATGGGTTAAAGGGGGGTTGGAACTAGATGATCTTAAAGTCCTTTCCAATCCTAACTATTCTGTGATTCTATTACATGGAGTTTACACCTTCACTGTACCATGCACCAACACCACAGGACTAAACTCCCTGTGCAATTCCAGCAAGCAGCTAGTACGAACTCAAACAGGAGACTTAGACAGAAATTTATACTCCCGTTTTCCCCACACAGAGAACCCAGTTTGTTTTCTCCCTCAAAATGATTCAGAACATTGCTATCTGATGGTTCTGCTTCTACTAAGAAATGACACTGTAAAAAAGTGACTGTGTTCTCCATGCATCTGAGCTTCACAGAAATACGCCTAGAAGAATGTGAAGTGAATCAACTTCAAAAGAAAAAAACCCCAAAGATTAGATAGCTATCATTAAACAGCACTCAGTTTTTCACACTGTATTGGTTTAAGCACAGCTGGCAACTCAGAACCAGGCAGCCATTAGTTCACACCCCGCCCTTCCACCCCCCCACCGGGAGAATGTAACTCCCACGGGTTGAGATAAGAACAGCTCAGTAACTAAGGTATAACACAAATAACTACTGCTACCACCAATAATAATAATGATGATAAGGGAAATAACAAGGGAAGAGAATACAACCGCTCACCACGCGCCGACCAATACCCAGTCTGACCGAGCAGTGATCTAGCCCTTCTGGATAAACTGCCCCCAGTTTATATAATGGGCATGACATGCTGTGGTATGGAATACCTCTTTGGCTAGTTTGGGTCAGGTGTCCCGTCTCTGCTTCCTCCCAGCTTTCCCTCCTCCCTGGCAGAGCATGAAACTCAGACTTAAACATTACTGAGCAACAACTAAAAACATCAGTGTTATCAGCACTATTCCCAGGCTGAAAGTCAAAACCACGGCACTGCACCAGCTACTAAGAAGGAGAAAAATGATTGCTGCTGCTGAACCCAGGACACACACCTTGGACAGAGACCAAATTCCCTCCAATATAGCTCAGTAATGTTAGTATTTTAAAAACATTCCATAGTAGTATTCCACAAATACACAGAATGCATCTGGAAGGAACAAGTCTCATTTCTCCCCTCATATGAAAAAATATTTCCTTGCAAAAATCCTTTCCAAACTGTTCTCAGTTTCAGAAAACATTACACAAACAGCCATGAAAATAAGCTTGGATATTAGTTTTTAAAGACAACATTTTAGATAGACTTTTTACCACCTTTCCCTCACTCTCACACAAGGAGCCACTCCACGACACAAACTGTTTCAGACTAGGCAGACCAGAGAATGCTCTTGCAGAAAGCACCTCCGATCTTTAGAAATGCAGGCTTGATAAAGTTGGCAAAAGTAATTTAAAGGCTGTAAAACATCCTCAGTTTAATTCCGTGTATGAGTATGTATTGAAGCTGATGCAACAATCTATGAGCTACTCAATGTGATCCAGCTTCATCTAGAAAGTCAGATGGGATTTTTGTTATCTTTCATGGTATTTTCAAAGTCTGATCTGACAAGTTCAACAGCATCTAGATTATGCCAACGAGAACACCAAAACCCCAAAGTGCACTGTTACTTGGACATTTTAGTTACTTGGACATTTAGTTATTCTGAACTAATTTGAGTTAAATGTATTTTTCCAGGTCACGTAGGAATAAAGAACTAAAAGAAAAGGAAGACTATCTGGGTCAGGTGACTAGCATCTGGAGACAAGATAAGGACAACCCTGAAAAAAATAAGACAAGGCAAAGTTTCTGATCTTAAATCCAAAGAATTCTCTTGCAAACTGGCAGAAGAAAATAGGAGTGCTACTTGAGAGCCCCTCTGCAGCACAGGGCTAAGTAAAAGGAGCATGCCTTTTAGCTGTTCCTCCTTTGTGCAACTCACAGGTCACTACATTTTTAACAGGGAATGTCTTCAAAATCATGGACAGCCTAAATATCCCACATCCCACTGGAGGAATATGTGACCTGCCTTCACACAAAGCTTCTGGCAGACAAATTTAACTCAATGCTTCAAGTTGACAGAAAGTGAAAAATCTCATTAAAACAATTAGCAAAGCAGAAACGAAGTCACAGTTGGCCACAGATCAAGGCTTCATAAAAGCCAGGAAGTCTCAGTCCTAGCAAGAAGAGTCCACATGTAGGAATACTGCACCTCTATCAACTCTGCTTTGCCATTCAAATATAGAACCTACTGCAGGGAAAAGGTATGTATTTCTTCCAGTACAGACCTGGATTCTTGTTAACTACAGCAAAACACTCTTCCTCCTCTTGCAAAGAGAAATAGGTAGAAGTGAACCATAGGGAACCATGCTATCCAGTCATATTCCAATTCTAGCAAGCATGTCTGTGAAAGCAGAAAGGTCTTTATTTGCTTATTTGAGCTTTTTATACAGCACTGAACATTAAATAGCTAAAAGCAATCTCAGTTCTTCACTAAAATCAGAGTCCACCTTTCAGGAACTCCACAGCAGGAGACGTATTAATTCCCTGGGGATGGTGTGATCCTTCAGCCATAGGAACCAGTTATGGTAGGGTAAGTCACTACACTTAATAATGCAAAGTTGTGATCAACAACTCCTACCATCATCTCAATTTATTTTTACTTGCCCGACACTGAATAGCTTAGTATTTTGGGCATCCTTCACTGATCTAAGGCAGGATGTTCAGGATATTCGTAAAGCTTTGGCAAAATTCACATGATCCTGCACTCTTCCAAAACAGGCTAAAAGAGCCTGAACAGCATCAAAGGCACAGCAGCAGGCAGTGGTATGATGATGGGGCACAGCGGTAGGCAAGTTACCTATCTGAAGCAAAAGCCAAGAGCTTTCAGTACAACTTTAGGGAGCCTTCTTTACATGGAAATCCCTTGTTCTTTTTGATTGCTGTAAGATATTCACAGCTTCATCATGATAACTCTCTCCAGCTGTTCTGCAGGCATTTCCTGTGCAGAACTTGTCTCTTTTTAAAGAAAAGCAGCTTTTACAATACACACTCCTCATGCTATGTCATCATTATTCCAGTGCTAGTGAATGAGATAAGCAAGTTCACACATTTGGGAAACAGAAGACAAGGCCTGTGTTTAGCAAAGAACTGGGCTACTGAATTTGAGGTGAAGAACAATTATTGCTTCCTGATGTTGGCCAATTACAGTAAGTTGACTTCTGCAGCCATACCTGTTTCACTTGTGACTTCTCAGGGGCCCAAATCCCATTTTATTAGTGATGTCACCAGTATCTTGTGTTAAAAAAACAAAAGGACTTTGCAACATGTTTTGTAAAGTTTAGGGTTGAAACCAGTACTTTCAGTTCCTCAGAGTAAACTTTAAGTAACAGTGTTTGTGCAGGTGGTATGTTCCAGAGGGCCCTAACAAATGGAAACCTTGCATCTAGAGCTTCCTAAGGGGCAGAAAAGCTTGTTTCCCATGCAGGAAAGCAATGCAGATATCCATCACTAGTAGCTGCAACCAACACGTTTCTGAATGTCTTCCTCTTCTCTATAGACCTACCCAAATAGCAACAAACAATATTCAGAACACACACTTTAGCAGCAGAGGACAGAGGCATGAGGTATTAACTGTGCTTTCATGTTTCAAAGCATTTAATGAGGGTTATTAAACGTGCATGTCTAAGTTTTTATTCTCTGGACATTTCATACAAACACCTTTGTTAACACCTCAAGGAGGCTATTCCTGTAATTCATACAGTATTTTACATCTTATTAGACCTAGCTCTGTATAAACATAACCATACGTAAAGGGTCATTGGCACTCAGTGCCTACACACAGCATGCTAAACTAAACACTCCTAGGACAAAAACTAGTAACAAGCTTGCTCCCATGGCTCCGACATGGCAACTGATGCTACAACACTAAACTATGAAGAAGCCATCTACAAGAGCCAGTAGCAGCTAAGCAGTATCATAGAACATGGCTGCACTTACGGATATCTGGGCTGACTACAGAACAGCCCAAATTGGGATTTGCCATTTTGTACAACAGCAGGTTTCAGCCATTTTCCACATCTTCCATCTTCTACTGGTCATTAGGAACTGGAGCTTCAAGTTAGCAGAAAAGCTTTTCACAATTTAGTCTTAAATATTGGAATATTTAAACATGGTGTTCTAGAAATATCAGTACTCCATGTTTTCACTAGTGCTGCTTTTTTAAATGAAAAATTATGACTGGGAGCACATAACACTCCAGGAGAAAGAAACATTACAAAGCATGTGTTCTGACAGCCTACAAACTATAGAGCTATCATGAAGGTTCTGATGCCCTCACTGCAGGGCTTCCATAGTTCAATACCCAAATTAAATCAGTATGTCCAGTTATGTCAACACAGCACACAGCTACTTAACAGAGCCTATTAATCCAGATGTTGAGGCATGGTTACACCAATTCAGTTTAGCAAGTTATCCATTTGAAAAAATTGCAGCAACAACATGCCACTGTGGCAATGCCATGAGATATGTAAAGGCTGCTTATGGGAACTGTATTGCAACTCATCAATGCCAGCTCTGTTAAAAACATCTTTAAGATTCTTTATCTAAACACTGGGGAATGTGGCATCATTTTTCAGGCATTAATTCCAGTATTCAAGTTTGCTGCTCTCAAGTTTTCTAATGAAGGTGCCAAGTGTCTGGAGAGAAAGTTCAAACTTGAAAGTGAAGTTTGTTTTCTTCAGATGAATCCTTCAGTATTTCAGGGGTGAATGGACCACAGGTAATGGCTAAAGAACTGTAAATGCATACTTGCCTACCTCACTATGGAGAATTTAGACTTAAAGGAATTTAAGAGGAAGTTAATCCTCATTAGAGGAAAAAACCTTTGAGATGAATATTCTCTGACAAACACCTCTCTAGCTTTTAAAAGCACACAAACGACAAAAAAGCTTAAGGAAACCTTTCCATATCTCTCAAGTAAGCCCTCTTCCACCAGATGGAAGGTGCTCCATCCCTAACTCGTTTGGTTTTTAGCTCCTTATGGTAACAAAGGCTTGTTTCAAGGACCTTTTCAAATTACTTATGACTGTTTCAGAGCAGGATAAAGCAACCAGAACATAATAGCCAGCATCAAGAACTGGATATAACCTTCTTAATGTTGTTATACTTAAAAATTAACTGCAAGATCATATACAAAGTACAGTTGCAGTAAATATACTAGGATTAACAGGCTTAGTTAACAGTGGCTTTGCAGCAATATTGGGGCAGCTATAGAACTCCATAGTAACTGGACCAATGTAAAGGTTTCAGGCCAAACACGTAAACCACTTAAACTCACTTGAAGAAAAATTCTCACATGAATAGAATTTAAAGAGAAGCTTTGATGAAGGGGAGGGCTAGAAGTTAACTCCTATCAAAAGCTGACAATCACTTTGATTTGTACTGTAAGAACAGACTTTTTGCCTACAGTTTTAGGCAGAACAATAGTATGGACAGCTGTAAGTGTCAAATCCATCTTTGCCAATAACCAGCTGCTTGTATGTTAAGCTATAGAACTCAAAAGACAACACAAAACAGTAACTAGAAGTACAAAGAAATTCAGGCTCTGTTGATACATATCCTGGATCCAGAAAGGCACAGACTCCATTTTGGTTTGTTTTGGACTCTCAAGCCTGAAAGCCTGACTTCAAAGCCAGGCACAAGGGTGCCTGAGCTAAACTCAATGTGACAACGCCAGGACGATCCCTTGTAGCACAGCTGTGTCATCCTTCTCCAGTACTGACCTCCCTTTAGCAGGGACCCATATGGCAACAGGGAAGCTTTCACTGAAGGGCAGAGGCTCAAGGCAACAGATCAGCTTCCGCCTCTGGTTGGCCAAGTTTCTTGCAGTAGCTCTCTACCCCTCTTTCCTAGAATATCCTGTATTTGCGAGGGAACAGGCACTGCCTTAATGGCTGACCTACTTTACCACCAGCTCCTAAGCCTTTCATGCTGTTAGATGAGAGCAGCACCCTCTATGTCCTGTGCACAACCAATGTCACTGCATTAAGTGTGGAAGCCTGCACTTCCAAGCATCCCAGCAAAAATGGCTAAAGGCTCATCCAGGAAAGAACGTTTTCCACTAAAACCACTTTTAAGACAACTGACATGAACAGATTAAACTGTATTTTAACATCTTCACCTGGAAATTGACCCTAAATGGGAAAAAGCACTCAATGCTTTACTGTTAATGCAAGTGCATTAGATTACATGCATATATATATATATATACACACATATACACACACAATTACACATGTATAGACGTATTTCAAGGACATGACATTTTGAAGAAGCAATCTATCTTTCATCATAAGAGATTTACATTCAGTTTGTGGCCCAGTCCTTGGAAAAAATTCCGAAAGAAGACAGCTAAGTGTGCACTTTCACGGGGTAAAACAAGGTAGCAGAGCAAGCTCCCCATATAGAAAGCCAGCAACCCTGCTTGCCCCAGTGCTATTAATCCAATGTCAGCTTTGGCTTGCACATCCTGCAAATCAATTCAAGCCTCTGAAAAGGCTAGGAAAGTATCCCAGTAAGGAGGATAGCTTTCCAGTGAAACAAGAAAGAGGGCCTACAAGCCATAAAGCTGGGTGTTCCTGCTCCATTCCCTGGCAACCATCAACAGGCCTTGGACCATTGCAATAGACCAGCCAGGAGGCTGACCCAGCCAAAAAGTAATCCCAAAGAAAGGTTATCCTTTTGGCTACATCAGCTCACCACGCAGCTGCACAAGTGCAAGTTCTTGTGTTAGGAACAAGCTTACAAACAGACGATCCAGGCCAGGATCAGTACAGCAGAGGGAAGCAGTGGAAGTGCTCCATTGCTGCAGAACTTCACTGATGTAAAAGGCAAGCCTCTCCCTTCAACTCCTTTGAAAAGTGAGGTTTGGACTTTTAGGAGTGACAGGCTACATCAGGCTTCCGTGGACCAAGAGGCTGAGATGTATCCCAGCTCACAGCTTGCCCTTTTTTTTGTGTCTGAAAAAAAAATCTTTCCTCCACAGCCACAGGAAGAGTTTAAATAAACAGTTCTTCCTAAAAACCTTCAACTTCAGTTAACCAGATACTCTCCCTGGCCAGCTGACTCACAGCTTGACTTCCTCCCTCCTGCACCTTTTCCCCTTTATTCACAACTACTTCTCCTCATCCAACCTCAACATCTCATGTCAAGACAGCTATTTCAGAGCCTATTAAAAAAGAGTTACTAATACAGCAGTAGGAATCAGTCCCACTAAGAAGTGTTACTACACCATATTACTTTCAATGCTCTCAGCGCTCCGTGTTCCTCATATTGCAGCTTGCCCTGGCATTAATTCTCCATTGACTGTTTCCCATCTTTAAGAAAAGCACTGAAGCCAAATCCTTTTAATATAGAGGCTAGCTAGAGCTTGTTTCAAATTTATGCTGGCATGCTGTCATCTCCCTAGGATAAATATATTGCTTCACAGCCCAAGAACAGGGAAAGCTCTGCTCCAGGAAAGCTTCCTTATGCAGCAGGCTCACTGCATCAGCCTTTCAGTCAGACACGTCTGCTTTTCACTGCATCACATGCTCTTCTATTTGTTGCTGTTACTACTTAGTAGAGCTGCCTTTAGCTGTAGTCTTCCTAATTCCTGCACATGCACGCACAGATTACCACCAACCTGCTCACTCACCACCCTTTTTCCAGACAGTGGTCCAGATTAAAAATCTCACTAAACTAATACAACTTAGTTCTTAAGCATGGTTCATTTTTCATAATCTTCACACAGGCTGCTTTATTAACACCTCCAAGATAGCCTCTTAACCTGGATGGGCTGTAGCTAGACCAGGGCAAAACTGCAGACTAAGTTCAATTGAGCTGCTTGTTTGAATTACATAAGCATAACCAGTACCACCCTCCTTCTACCTGTACTGTCATACATCAAGCAGCTCACCCCAGAGGCAGGAGCCTCTTACATGAAAGCCATAAGAAAACTGGAAGAGGAAGAATAAAGTAAGCCTAGTGTGAAGCAGGCAGGCACAAAAGCATTCATGCTATAGAAGCAGAGTGGTGCTCAATGATATTCTGCTAGTTTCTACTCCAAAAGACAGTCCCTTCTTAGAGGATTTAACCACATCAGTTAGATGATTAAGAGCTCTGGAGGTCAAAGGCAGTAAATAAATTACTAACAGACAAGCCCTTGTCTACGACAAGCTGGAGAAATTCAGAACACCAGTGAGGTATAATCCCTTCCTTCTTGCTCATTTTGGGGACACATGAAATGCTTCAGTATGGATGCTGCTGAAGAGCCTTATGATCCATTTAAAACGAATATTAGAGGAAGCTATGGTTTGCAGGATTCTGTTTTAAGCAGAGTTCTAAATTAGCCATCCAGGTTCAGAAATTTGGTGTTTGCTGTTCTGACGTAACAAGTTAAACACCACAAGCTAAAGGGAGACAGCAACAACAGTTTACTATCTAGACTGCCACAACACTTATGTCATTCCACAGGCACAAAGGCTTAAGGACAGAAGTTAGCTGCCTCTGTTTCACTGAACAAGCTACTTCCTCGTATACTAGAAATAAACAGTGGTGGGTGGACAACAAATTTGGTTTGGGTTTTGTGTTATTTGTACCATGCATGTACCAGGAAAGCAAACCCAACACAGAAAGCAAGTTTACTTCCTATTCATGGCATTCTACCAATGTTTACAAAAAAAAAAAAAAACCTTAGTTATATCACATTGAAGTGCTGAGTTTCAGAATTTCCAGCTTGAATCTACAGCATGAGGCTAACAAAGCTAGAAAGCAGTAGTGTGGAGTAAAACTTCCCACTAAGCTTTCTCAATCTTTATACAAGCAAAACTACTGCTAAGATTGTAATAGTTACTATGATGTATTACTCAGCAAAAGTAACTATCTGCATATCCCTGCAAGTTAGTTCTCTATGTAAATTTCTTATGTAGTTTGAAGCACTTCCTTCCAGTCCTTTGCATTATAAAACATAGCTGAGGTACAATGCAATAATAGGCAATTACAGTATGCATCTGTGTGTGTGCATGGAGTAATCTTTGTACAGAGGTAGCTCCAGATCCTCTGCAAAGGAAGGTTAGAAGTTTCACACTAATCCAACAGCCAATTAAGTATTTTCTATTTGGTGGCAACACTGAAGAGGTAACCAGAGCCACAGGTAGTTAACATGTTAGATGCTGTACAGGCATGAAAGACAGCTGAAAAGTCTCAGTCATAAAAACAAAGCTATACTTAGCGCTACTATACAAGATCAGAACTTTCTTCAAAATGCTTTACACAGCCATGTTTGTACAGAGCTTCATATTGTGATTTACATGACAGGATTATGCTGCAAGAATGCAAAACTCATAACAGCACTTTGTTTTCAGCTCCACAGCCACTTCTGTCAGAGATCTGAGAGAACAGAAGGGGTGAGAAGACTGACAGCAGAAGCAGAGAGCTTTTTGCCTTGACACCTTGCCTTGTAACAGACAAGCTGGGGGGGGGGGGGGGGGGGGGGGGGGGGGGGGGGGGGGGGGGGAGTATTCAAGTTGGGAGCATCTTACTTGAATAGCCTGTCGTCCTTGCTGAGCATCTGCCAGGAGCTGAATGGTGAGAGTCCTGGAATCCTGTAGGGCATCTTGGAGGTAGATAAAGCTGTGACCCACATGTCGTCCCATGGTACATTCCCGACATATGGGGACAGAACAGGTATCACAGTAGAAATGCAGTACCTATAAGGGAAAAACAAACAAACAAACAAACAAACATGAACTATATTACTATCTAATGAAATATTAAGGAGAAAACAGAGTCAGGGTGTAAGAAAGGCCAAGAGATCAACTATAAAAGGAGACAGAGGTAGTAGGCAAAGACTTTGGAATTCTCTCTCTACAGAGTAAGAGCTATCCTCCCCAGTAATCTCCAGATCATACTCTAACAGTTACATGGAAGTGTCATTGTTTTCTTTGCAATACAATACAAGGAAGAGTGTCCACATCAGCTCCTCTTAGGAGCGGAAGCCATCTGCCAACACTTGCAGATTGGAGATCTATAGCATCTATAGCAAGTTTCAGGTGAAGACTTTTCCTGCATACACAACCATCACATTCTCTTAAGTGGGTCATTTAACAACCAACACACTGGAGAATTTTAGATCCAGCACACCACCGCATAGAAGGGGGGGGGGGGGAGACGACAAATTGTGCATGCCAAAACCCATCCTTTATGTTTTCAAAATATGCAAATATCTTATTTGTTCAGGGCAGTAACAATATTAGGCAAGAGCCCTCCTGCCACTCCCAACAACAAAGCAAAAAAACCCTTTGCTATGACATAATGTTCCTATACTAGTGATACTCAGGAGATGCTAGAATTGGAAAGCAAGACTGGAACATTAGCATGGCTGTAGCTTTCAAATGCGCTGATAGACAACTGTGGGTAACCACTAAATCCCCATTCTATTCACAAAGCACTTAAAAAACCTGCATTCAAATCACAATGGAAGTCTGACACCAAGATGTTAGCCTAGGAAGCTGGATCCATTCAGCCATAACTGTTCCCATTCCGTCCAGTAGAGGGAAGCAGCACACAGAAATAGCGAAGCAGCACACAGAAACAGCGTCTTCGATGGAAGTGTTTTCTTAGAGGCAAGCTGAAACCAGCTATTTTCAAAGATGCAAGGAGTACAACACGTCAACACAAGAAAGCTTTACATCCCAAGTCCTGCTCTTCATTACATACACTATTTCAGTTAGAGTGGTATGTCAGAAAATCTGTATTGCCATGGAAGAGTCAAAACTCCACTACAAAATGGCAAACAATTTTTCCTGCTACAGTTTTTCCATCACCAGCTATTTGAAATCTACCTCACAGAAAGGAGCAAGAGCAGAACCAAGTTTGGGCAAGTGTTTGATATGCCTGTCTTCTCACAGCTGTCATCCAGCCACTCCCAATTCCAGCTGTTTGTGATATGGTGCATAACATCCCCCCTTTCCCTTCTCCCTCAAAAGCAAGGGGGAGGCTAGGACAGGTGATTCCCTCAGATTGCCTGTGCTGCAGAAAGTGACATGTTAAGCTCATATAAACACAACACCTGAAATGGTACATGGCTTAATTTCTCAAGGGATATGTGTGTGTTTGTTTGTGCATGCATGGGAAAAAGCTTTAGTAAAACTCAAGTTAAGTTTTGCTATAGGGAAACTGGAGCAAACTGTTTTGCTTCTGTTCAAGCAGCATCTAAGATCTTCCATCTTTTGTGAGCAGAAAGCTGCCTTGGCTCCGAAATACATTAGTCAAATGCATCATCTTCCTCAACTAGAGGGTTCCCTGTCTTTACACTGCAGTTGTCTAAATCTGTATACATGTTCACTTGTTCGTGCAGTTCTGTAATTTCGCTGTTGAAAATTACAGGGAATGCTTATTACATGTCACTGAATGACTCCACTTAAACAACTGGGAAGTTAAGAGAGAATGAAAACCAAGACAGGGTATGAAGTTAAGTCATATGAATCTGATATACTTTAAAAACATACAGCAGGGATTTGGGGCCTCAATCAAGCAGAAGCAGCTGAAAGGAAAGTGGTGACCATATGAACAGAAGTCCAGAAGGAAGTTAAACCTATTGTCAATCCTCCATTTTGGAGGATACCAGAAGCAAAAGTTCTGTAAGACACCACAGATCAGCCCTGTCACCCAGGCACTCCTGTGAAGTAACATCATCCAGTGCTAAAGGAGTCACCAGCTGTTCAAACCAAAGAGAAGCTTAGCTATTCAGCTGCCTCCTGCCACCCACCACAATGTGGTGGAAAACAGCAGTCATGAATTTAGAATGAAGAGAGACAAGAGCTATAATGTCATTTCAGAAATATGCCGCTTACATAGGACATATCAGGGGAAAGCCTTGGGTAGATACTACAGAGCCACTGATATTTGTTTCTTAGTAAACAAAATGATGAAAACAACACAGATTTAAATCTGAGAGCAAAAGAGTTAAACTTGGGTGAAAAAAAGTAGACAGTGATGGACTGACCTCCATCACTACACTGTTACTCAAAACAGTTACCCTTAAATGCACACAAGAGGAAGCACAAATGCATAATCCCTACTGCTCTCAGTGGGAAAGGGAGCTAGTCACCAGAAGTAAAAGAAGTAAAAGAGTCAGCCAGCTTCAAGATGAACTAGCAGCTCCCAGGAAACTCCTTTCTGGATACAAAGACTACAACAGAAACCTCAAACTTGGCAGAGGTACAAGGGGAATTTTCCTCTTGTGGTTGATTTTACATACTCGCTGTCAGAAGCGCCCAACAGGCTCCTGACATCAGCTCTACCCAGCAATGGGGCCACACTCCTATAGAACTAAACTGGAAAGAGCCCAGCTGTGCAGGGTGCAACAGCAAGGGGAGTTTATTTGTGCCAGCCGGGCTAACGGAGCTTGGAGCACAGCATCTAGCTTGCCTGTGCTTGCAACCACAACCAGGCATTTATTGTTAAAGCTCAAGCCTGCTCACACACCAGTCCCTAGGTCATGGCTACAAAGGTCACGCACTGCTAGATTAAGTTTCTATGCCTGTTTCTAAATAGAAGGGGGAGAAAATAATCCAAACGCACCCCCCACGCCAGGCCACCAACAAGCACCCCCTGCAAAAAATTCATACCAGCAGTATAAGCACAGTAATAAGGACAATACACGAGTATGTTTTCAATTCAGACTTCATGCACTGTGTGCCTAAAAGCAAAGCATTTTAGTTGTGTTGTTAATACAGCAAACATATTGCTCCTTCTATGCTCATTATATGACAAGTAACAAGGCTGGTCCTGAAATGTGCATGGGCAGTGGGAAGGAATAATAAAACACTAATTCTTCCATAACAGATACCATCTTAAAAACACCACAGTACTTTAAGGAGAGTCCTAACACTCCTCCTCCTCCCCCCTTATCTGAAGAGGCAGAGATGATAGTCAAAAAGATCCATCAAGCTGTAAATAATACTATTTTACCATTTTCCCAAGTGTACAAAAGATTGGTTTTAAGAAAAAAAACAAACATGCTGCTTTTTCCAAACTACACAAACATTCTGATAGGCAGAAAGGAAAGAGAGTAGAAAGCAGGCACGGATTACACCTTTCAAAAGAAATTCAGAATTGTGAAAACTTCATTTAGTGAATACATTCTTTTTGTAGTAATAAAGTAAAAATTCAACTGTTTTAAAGTAAAAATACAATTTTATTTTCTTTTTTGCTTTAAAGACAAGACAATTGTTTGGAAAGGTTTTTGTGGGCTTTCACTGGTTTTAATAAAAATAAAATTTGATCGTTTTGGTTGTTTGGTTTGTTTTTTTTTTTAATAATATAAATGTTTAAGATAAAAGCTGTTGCCCTTCCAATACCTATTCTGTTAAATGTCTATTAAGGGAAAAAAAGACTCGTAATCAATTTTAGTAGTAGTTTTTTTTGTTGTGTGTGATTAGTTTTGCGTGCATGTTTTGCTTTGCTTTAAAGAAACTGCTTCAGCACATTAATTAGTACTTTGGACTTTCCACCCAAATTAAATGAAAAGAGGAGTCAGAAGCAAGGGGGGAATTTAGTTTTAGAGACAGTTAAAAGTGATTTATTTTAAAATAAATCAGCTATGGGCTGATTATTTCCCAAACAGGAAATATTTCCTGAATTGGTGGCATACAATTTTAGACACAAAACAATAAAGGGAGCCTACTTCAATTTAAACAGAATCAGTGAACCATATTACAGGGCTATTCATCTTTTACAGCCACAGCAGCCCAAGAAATACAACAGCAAGGCCATAAATGTGATTGCTTCAGGAAAGGCTGTACAGTGCACCGTAAAAACATTTTACAACAGCAGGAATTCCTGGGTGTCGTTCTCCCTCTTTTTTGGTCCATCTGCTTTCAAAGGGGGCAGGGGGATGGGCGGAGATGCTGTTAAACGTCCCCAGGGACTGCACAGCAATCAATCATCATCTGATGAATGGCCACTAAAGTTAAACCCTGACCCCACTCCACAATTCCCACACCACTGCTCCTCCACTTACTGCTGACCAGCTTCCAGCGTGTCTCCCCCCCACCCCCCCCCCCCACCTTCCAGCCCTCACACCAAAATATCCCAAATACCAAGCCCAGACAAAAGCAATGGAATGTAGCAGGCACCATGACAGGGAAGAATTCAGCAGAAACAGCATCTAAGGAGGCTTAGCCTTAACCTGTGTTTAAACAATTTTTCTCTCACCAGTACTCTGGCGTTTTCTTCCCAGCTTGCAGACACTTGATTTCTCTCATATCAGAGCGTATTTAAGAGCATGTAAGCATGCAATTGTCAAAGCATGTGGAATCTAATCATTTAAGCATTTGTTTTCCGTCACATTTCAGTGTCTTGCAATGATTTTTATCTAATTTTTTTGTTTTTTTATCTTTAGTGTTAAGAATTTGCACAAGGTCATACCACATAAGGTTATATTATTTTAAAATACGAGTCTGATGCTTTAAAAGGCACCCTGTAATCAACAATTACAAAAAGTCTACAGACAAAACAGTAGCCTCTTGGTTTCTACTTCTGGAAAAGTTTCAGTATGGCATTTGTAAGTTAATTTAGTTTATGACCAAAAATAAAAGTATCATACTTACTACATACAATCTGAAGTTTTCCATAATTAAAGGTGTTTTATTATCTAGTTCCCTTGACAATAACTCAAACAACAGTGGCTTTGTTAGGTAATGTG